ATCCTTGCCACAGAAAACCTGGCAGGGCTCTAGGCCCAGGAGTTAGGGTCTGGAGGGCATTGTTCCAAAGCCATCTGGCATACATTCTTCTCTTTCCTGCCACCTATGCTGCTGCCACTGCCCCCTGACCCCAAGAAACTTTCCTACAAGGTTTGCCCGACCCTGGCTTTCAACTTTCAAATAACTGCAAACTAGGATTTCTGTGAGCAAAAGACCAGGACTGGCAGCTGCCAGAGCAGGAGGCATGGCTTTTAGCGTCACAGATGATGAACTGTTAAGAGCTATAAAGGAAAACTCTTTGTAAAGAACATGGCATGATTCAAATATATGGTTATTTTTATTTTGTCATGCTTTAAACCAGCGCTGTCCAATAGAAATATAATGTAATCCACGTATCTAATTAAAAAATTTCTAGTAGGCACATAAAAAGGTCTTGTTTTTCTTTTAATGCGCAAAACAAATCCAGACTTCTCATCCTAGCTTGCACAGCCCATGTCAGCCTGGGCCCTGCCTACCTCTCCAAGCTCCCCTCACACCCTGCCCACCTTCTACTACCTTCCAGCTACATATGCCTCTTTTGGACCCATGAACTCACCAAGCCCATTCCCACCTTAGGGCCTTTATCCAGCTGCATTTTGTTTTTACTGTTGCATATTTAGCGCTGGCTTTTTGCTTGTTGTCCCCCTCACTAAAATTGAGACTCCCTAACAGTAGGATGTTTACCTCTTGGTGTGGTTGAATGAATGAATGAATGAATGAATGAATGAATTCATTTGGAGTGAATTGAGTAAATACATAAGGAACAGGTGAACTAGATAGGGTTGTTCTGAAGTGAGTGGACTCTCCAAAAATGGCTGAATCACACAAGGTTCTCACTAGATGGAGTGGGCTCCCTGTGATTTGAAATGTGGTCCTGTGTTTTCCATCGGTGGCTGGCAGTGACTTTGGAGCTCTCAGTTCCTCAGGCCCTCTAAATTAGGGCCATGCCTACTGTTTCTGGGGACAGTCCTATGTAGCACCATCATCGCTAAGCAGTGGCCACAGGCTCAGTGCACAGTATTGCACTGGAACTTATGTCAGGAATCAAGATGGTAGAGTCACCTCTGCTTCCTCCCACCAGGTGCCACCACCATCCCCACCCCACCTTGCTGGGAGGGAAGTGGCCCATGGTGGTGGGGACAGGTGGTTCCCTTGTCTCTAAGTTGCAAGAAAAGTCAACACACTCCAAGTAGGGTAAGGGAACACTTTAGACCCTGAGATGAGCTCTCTGTGTTGTGTCCCCAGATGACAAAAATGGGGAAGGGACTAGTTGGAGGTCACCACTTGACCAAGAAGTTAGATCATCACCAGGTGTCAACCCAATCTTAGCACAAAGCCACCTGTGCATATGTGTTCAGTTTGTAACCAGTCATTGAGCTATACACTTACAATACGTGCACTTTCCTGAATGTGTCACATTTCCAAAAATAAAGGAGCACACCTGAAGAGCCCTTTAGAACCCACAACCTGAACCCACGCTCATAGCTTTGGCTTCAGAATGCCTAGGATATGTCACAGGTACCTGATTGTAAAGCTTCCCATGTGATTCTGATTAGCATCCAGGGTTAAGGCCTAACATAAGCAGTGACTGGGGACTCCAGAGCAGATGAAGGAGGGAGTAGGGGGTGGGTAAGGGAAGGAAGATAAGGCAGGATTTCAGTCACACTTAGAATAATCAAGTTCCAAAACATCCAACGCATTGATAGATTGATGCACATAGAATTTCTGGGTGCCAAAAAAAAAAAAAGAAGAAGAATCAGCAATATAAAAAAACAGGTAACTGAGGGGAAAAAACTTTGTAGCAAAAGGTTAATAGCCTTAATATTTATAAAAAGCTCTTTACAAATCACTAGGATGAGCACTCAGTAGAAAAACAGATGGCGTGCATGAACAGGCAATTCAAAAAGAAGAAATACAATGGGCCAATACACTTATGAAAAATGTTCAGCCTCATCAGTAATCAAATAAATGCAAATTAAAACAACAAAGAGACATTACCTTTTGCCTAGCTAATTGGCAAAGATTAAAGACACGATAATACCTTGTGTTGGTGAGGGTGTGGAAAAAACAGGCACTGTCATTCACTGGGGGGAGTGCAAATTGGTGCAACCTTTCCAAAGGGCAATTTGGCAATGCACAAAGCTGAGGAAGACTGTGTACCCTCTGACGCAGCAATTCCACTTTTAGGAAGATCGCCTTAGGAAATAATTGTGAATAATAATAATAATAGCTAACCTTTGTTAAATGTTCTCTGTGTGCCAGATGGTACATGCATTATCTCATAGAATCCTCACAGCCATCATCCTAAAAGGTAAGAGCTATTATTTATCTCCTGTATTTTACAGCTGAGGAAGTTGAGGTGCAAACAAACGAAGTTAATTCTTGAGGACACAAATCTAACAAGTAGCAAAGTCTGGATTGAAACACAGGCAGCCTGAGTCTAGAGCCCTGCTGCCCCGTACAGCAGTGTACATGGGGTGTGTGCAGAGATAAAGCTGCAAGGATGTTCTTTTGGGGTTTTCTGTAATGGGAAGGTGGAGGGGGGCATGCTGTATATTCCACACAGGAATCAGTTACATAAATTATGATGCATCCATACAGGAACATTATGCAACCATGAAAAATGATGCTGTAAGAAAAACGGTGTGTGAATATTTGGGGGGAGGGGAGATTTGTATATGCATAAAAGATTTCTGAAATGAGGTCAAAGGATCTGGTAAGATTGATTGTCTCCTAAGAGACAACTGTGTGGTTGTGGCCAGAAGTTAGAGAGAGACATGTTTTTAAAGCCATAGACCCTTTTCACTTCTTGAATTTTGAATCATGTTGATGTCTATCAAGATATATGTATGTATATTCCATGGAATCATTGTCAAAATATATACATAAACATATATACACATATAAATATAATACACATATAAAAATAAATACACATATAAGTTACGTTATAGAATTTGTTCCACATAACTTCATTTCCTTGAAATGCTACTAAGAGTTCTAAGAAAAAAAGCTTCAAGGCCCTCACTTAAAGAACGATACTGAAGTTAATAAAGATACTTCTTTTTTTTTTTTTTTTTTTTTTTTTTTTTTAGATGGAGTCTCGCTCTGTTGCCCAGGCTGGAGTGTAGTGGCACAATCTCAGCTCCCTGAAACCTCTGCCTCCTGGGTTCAAGCAATTTTCCTGCCTCAGCCTCCTGAGTAGGTGGGATTGCAGGTGTATGCCACCATGCCCAGCTAATTTTTGTATTTTTAGTAGAGACGGGGTTTCACCGTGTTGGTCAGGCTCGAACTCCTGACCTCATGATCCACCCTCCTCGGCTTCCCAAGTGCTAGGATTACAGGTGTGAGCCACTGCGCACAGCCAAAGATACTTCTTTAACTATGTTTAACCCACATGTTCGCCAAACTCATTTTCGCATGGAACCCTCTTCTCAAGTAATACGTGTTTTCATCTCTCCAGATACTCCTGCTTATAGAATTCAGTTTGGGAAATACTATTATTAATATTTAACACCCAGGCAAAAGGGTTACATTGTTTCATTAAATGAAAGAATACATAGAGCCTGGCACATAGAACTTAAGAAAGGTTAGCTATTATTGTTACTATTATCCACAAATGGCATTGATTCCTTTTTGTTTACAAATGGGGGAGGTGTTATTTATGAGTATGGAGACAAGGGATGGTTTTGTTTTCTTCTTTTTTCATCTCTCTGTATTTTTTAATTTTCTAAAATGAACAAAATTATTTTACGAGAATTATTGCATAAGCCTACATCATTCATTTTTAAAGGCCTCCTTTCTGTGCTTCCTCTGTACCCTGTACCCCTCTCATCTACTCCCTGCGTATATGCAGCAGCTCAGGGTGAAGTTCAATGAGGGGACCCTGTTCTAGCTGGGCCCTTCTGCCTGCCCTTCTCCAGAGCCAACTCTGAGCTGCCAGGGAAAGGGCCATTCAGTTCCCAGGCAACTCCCTGGCTCCAATAGACCCTCCCTTCTGCTACTAGAAGGCTTTTAACCATCTCACAGAGAGAGAGGATACCACAAAATCAGACACCATTCTGCTACTAGCCTGACACATGGCAAATCCTGTTACCTGAGCTTTGCTCCCAGCTCTGCGGCTGCCTGGCTACATGGCTTGAGGCAAGTGTCTTCACCTCTCTGAGTCTCATCTGCACCGTCAGTGTCAGTATGACACTACCTCACAGAGCTCAGGGACCAAACGAGAGCCTGCATGAAGGCTTTGTGTATCCTGTAAGGGACTATCCCACTGGAAATTATTATCCACCTCTGGAAATTATTATCCACCTCAGCAGTGAGCACTGGCTTGGCCTCACCTTCCTGAGAACAGACTACTCTCTCGTGTGTGTGTATGTGTGTGTGGGGTGTGTGTGTGTGTGTGTGTGTGTGTGTGTGTGTTTTGGTGAGGAGAGGAGCAAGGAAGTAAAACACGGGAGGCTGGGGTGTGTGGAAGCAGAATGTATTTAATCAGCTTGGCATTTGCAGTTTTGCATCCGTGATTGGGCCTGAGCCCACCGATGCAGTCCCCATGGCTTGTTACCCATGATTTTTAATCCTGAGCACCGATGTCAAGATCTGGGTTTGAATCCCAGTTCCATCATCTGCCCTTAGGGAAGTAACTTCACCATTCCAAGCCTCTGTTTTCCCATCTGTGAGTGGGTTTAATCATGGGGTTATTGTGAAGATTTCATAAGCTAATATAAAGCTTCATACCATTCAAGGCATAAGGAAACTCTGCAAGTTATAACTACATCGATGTCATCGTATTACTCACTGTAAATGTTTATTGAACTAGGAAATGACACCAGGAGGGGTGGCTCTCAGGATCACCCCTTCCTTCCCCGGTTCTAGCCCAAAGACAGTGGCCCTTACTCTCTGCTACTCATGCTTGGCACTGCCCCTACCACCACCATGCTCAACTATCTGCCTTGTACCCACAGCCACCCGGCCCAAGCTGAAGAAGATGAAGAGCCAGACGGGACAGGTGGGTGAGAAGCAATCACTGAAGTGTGAGGCAGCAGCTGGTAATCCCCAACCTTCCTACCGTTGGTTCAAGGACGGCAAGGAGCTCAACCGCAGCCGAGACATTCGCATCAAATATGGCAACGGCAGGTGAGCAATACCCAGCCTGTCTTTCATCCAACCAGCTGTCCTCCCTCTTCTCGAGGTGCGGGGGCCTGAGCAAAGGGCAGGGCTGTGCCCCCAGTCTCACCCGTAGAGCCAGTCCTAGCCCTTCTCCCTACTCCCCTTCCTTGCCACTCCCAGCCTTCTCCCTGCAGCTCGGGGACCCTCTGGTCATGGTGGCCCAGGATCTTGCAGACCACAGGCAAGAATTAAGCCATTAGCTTCTCTGGATAGTTGAAGGCAATTTGATTGTTCACAGTCAGCTCTATCAGTGTAAGTCCCTGCTCATCCCTAAAACTTCTCAAAAGACCTGCTGCAGCGTCGGAAAGCCCCATCGTTGGTGAAAGACCCTAACTCCAGAATGCCTCTGGGAGGTCACACGTGATGGGCTGCTTTCTCAGCTTATCAAGCTGTCCCTTGTCAGAGAGCTAGGTAAGGGGAAAGGGATCAACACTTTGATTGGTGTTGGAGAACTCTGTTCCTCAGACGGTTTTCCCCTAAAACATGAGAATTGTCTTTAATCCTGGATCAGTGCTTCAGGGAAGTGAATCAGAGAAGTTCCCTGAGTCTCCAGGCTATGAGAGATGATGGCCTGTCTTCCATTTTGGGTGGGTCAGGCAGGGGGCTTCTGGCACCAGAGAATCTGATCATCCAAGGCAGACCACCGCCTCTCTCCTGCCTCTCAGAGAGAAGCAAGGGGAAAAACCCCTGCCTGCCAGCTAAGCAGGCACTCTACCTGATGTCTGCCCTGTCGGCTCCAGGGACCTAGACCTTCCCTCTCTGACTGAGGCGCTCCCAAGGCTTTTCCGCACCCCTCCCAGGGTAGCTTACAGCCACTCCCTTACTGGCTGTCATTTTCCTCCTCACCACCTCACCACACACACAAAATGCAAATTAGGATGATTTTAGAGCACACCAGCCTACCCACAACAAAAAGTGGTGGAAGGCCCGGGCTGGGCCGGCTGCCTGGGTTTGCCATGGCCCTGCCTCCGGCCCTCTGACTCTGGAACCTGGAAAAGGGATGAGGGACTCAGGGGACTGGGAGTTGCTTCCAGTTCTCTGATTGTCCTTGCAAGAGTGGGGAACAGAAGTAAAACTGATCACTCTAGAAAATGATCCTGGCAGAAAACAGAATGTAATTAAGGAAGGGTTTGGCTTGGATCAAAGGTCTGTGGGTGAAAGAATGCCACTTCCTAAGGAACTTGCCATGACCAGCGGCAAGTCGGGAGTTCTGTATGTCCCTATTCTACAGCATTGGCAAGTGCTCAGGCTGCCCACCCAGCTCACCTTCTGAGACCACCCCACCCCTTCTCACTGTCCTTCCAAGGCTGGCTCCAAGCTGGAGCGAATGAGCAGGCTTCTTGGAGCTGGGCAGTTGGGTCCCATCTCCCTCCTATCCTCTTTCTAGAAGATGGCTTCTCCCCTGCTTCACTGCGGTGATGGAAGTCGGGAGAGCCCCCCTTTCCCTCCTCATGGCTCTCAAACAGGTCCACAACCTGCCTATCCTCATCCCACCCTATCTAGTGGCCCACACTCACACTCACCCTCCCTCCCACACCTTCCCACACACAGAAACACGCCCGCAGAGCCCTGGTGCCACCAACTCACTCCTTTCTCTGGTAACTTCAGCTTTCTCTCCCTACCAACAAACCCACGTCCATGGCTTTTTTTTTCCTCAAATGCTCTTTCTCCACGCCGCTGCTCTCCTGGCCCTCCAGCAGTTGCCCCGTCTCACTTCCGCCCTCCACCACCACAGGAAGTCACTAAAGGAGCTGCCCTCACGCCCACTGACTGCACACTCTCTCGTCCTCCACCCACTCGTTGCCCTGCTGGAATCCACCTTTCAAGTAAATCCCCAACCTCTCGATGGCTGTGGCCCTGGAGAAACCCCGGTTATCTCCACGCTCCCTGGCTCAGGCCTCCAGACCTCTCAGCAGCCTCGGCATGGGAACACCTGCCCCCTGGTTCTGTGGTGCTCCTCCTGGTCCTGCCGTGAGTCTGGACACTGTCTCTTAGTTGCCGTCAATGCTGGAACTTTCCTGAGCTTTGGGCCACACTCTGCTTTTCTCCCTTTCCACCGGTGGGTGATTTCACCTTCTCCTGTTGCTTTAAGAATCTGAGACCCCAAGTCTCCATCTTCAGACATGATAGCTTTTCACCTGAGTTCCAGACCCGTGCTGCCAGGGAGACAGTAGGGGCCACACCTGAGACGCCCCACAGACACCTCCGATTCTGAATGCCCCATCCGGCCTCTCCCCTACCCGCTCTAGACCTTTCTCTCCCTCCCGTGTTTTCCTCTCACCTATAGCTCAACCAGACTCCCTGATGCTCAACCCTGACCCCTTGTCGTCTGCGCGGGGGGGTCACTCCTCTTTCCCTGCCTGCACATTTCTTATCTGGTCTCCCTGTCTCTAGCCTCCTTTCCTCCTCTGTCCCACTCTCAGCCACTCCCCACGTTTTCTGAACCACAGGCCCCTTTGAGAATTCATTTCTGAATCTAACGTATCTGGGTGGAGTATCAACTATGTGCCAGGCACCCTGCTAGAGGCTCAGGATATGTCAGTGAACGAAACAGACATGGTCCTTACCTTCAGGAGTCTCTAATCTAGCTTCTAGTATAGAATCTGGTAGAAGCCTCATCCTTTTCTTCAAGAAAAAATTGTGGCTTACGTGCCCAGTTTGCTTGTAATTCTAGAGGTCCACAGTCACTGAGCCCTGTGAGTGCCGGATGGGAAATGATCTTTCTAACATGAACATCTATTCAATCATCCATTCGAGACAGAGCTTGAGAGCCTACTGCATGCCAGGTACAGCCTTGGGGCTCTTCCGACTCCTATTCCTGGCCTACAAGTCACTACCCTGCTGTTTCCTGAACTGCGACACTCCCAGCTGCTGGTCTTTCCTTTCATGGCCCAGGCTGTTCCCTATGCCGGCAGCTCTCCTCCCCTCGCTTGTCCCTGGCAAGGCTCTCCAAGGCCCGGCTTCAATGTCGTATCTCTGCGACACCTTCCTAATCTCTCCAGGCAGCTCTCATTGTCTCCTCCCATGGTGCCTTAGACGTTGCCTCATTGCTTTGTGGAGGGATCTCTCTCTCTCCTTCCAACATGAGAGAGCCTAAAAGCCTGGAGCCCTACACCCAGACACCCCCTTCTCCCCTATAGGACCTGGCAGAGAGCTCTGCACTGAGGGCTGAATTGAGGAGAATCTGACAGGGGTAGCAGCACTTCTCTCCTGGGCGTAGAGTCCCACTGGGACTGGGCAGCAGGCCCTTTGGATAGTCTTAGCCTTCTGAACCAGTTACTATCCTGGTTAAGCCTCAGTTTCGTCTGACAAATGGGTTACCCAGTCCAGAAACAGGGCCTGGTCTTCTCCTGGGTATTATGGACCCCTAAGAGTCTAAAGTGTGCCCCCTGTCCCCTACCTTTCAAGGCCCTGCCCCATTTGCTGCATCCAGAAACTTCCTTGATCTCCCTGTCCTGCCCTGGGCTCTCAGCAGTGAGGTGTGAGTGCTGGAGGAGTGGGCCACGACAGGGAACCTCTGACTCCCTGCAACCAAGGTGCCCTAGGAGTGACTTAGTGAGAACTGCCACCTGTACACACTACCCATCCTACACTACACACCTCACCTAATAGAGGGGCCTGGGCAGCAGCAGGAATCTGCTTTCTGACAAAATGTTCTCTGTCCTGGTCTGCCCACACAGCAGCTGGCTCCCCTGCCTCCTGGCACTCTCCCTGCCCAGGTCGCGCTCTGTCAGGGCATCTCTGATGGCCTGTAGAGACCCCCTCCTCAGTGGGTGCTGTCTGTCTCTGTGCCCACTGCACTGAGACATCTCATCCAAGCCCTCCTGTGCCAGGAGAAAACTGCCCCCCCAAGCCCTGGGCACGGGGCCTTCCCCTGCAGAGCCACATGTTCCCTTGTTTATGAGGGGCAGGCTGGAACAGGCCCCTTGAGCAGGCAGGGGCGGTGGGGAGGCGCTGAGGAAAATGTAGAGGACATAGCTGCCCAGATCACGTCCCTGCCAGCAGAGAACCACCTGGGGAGGTGGGGGGCGGGCATGATCACCATCTCGGGGCAAACCTGAGTCAGCGTGTGATGGGGCAGCAGGAGCCGAGCACAGCACCCAGCCTGCCTCTGAATCCTCGGGCTTCCGCCTGGAGCTGGTAGTGAGGAGGGAGAAGGTGGTGACTCTAGCTCTTGCGGGGCCTGAGAAACCCACAGAGCCCCGCCCTTCAGCCCTGACCCAGAGCCCCATGTGCATCTCCAGGGCCTGCTTCGGTGAAACCATCAGACAGCTGCTAAACCAGGACACCTGCAGCAAGCCTCAGGGTCATTGTCTCTGTCCCCTGCCTCTTTATTGTTCCTCAGAGGGAAGGGGTTCTCCCGGGGCCCTGGACCTCCATTCTACAACCTGCTTTTCCTCATCCCACCCTACCTGGTGCCACATGCCTGCATGTGGGGAGTCCATTCTTAAAATTCTGCCACATCCTGCTACATATGATGCTGTGTAAGGGAAGCACCTCTGAATTCCGTAGTGGGTGACAAGGAGAATCTGGCTCTGAGTCCCTTGTGCATCAACACCCCCACCCCCAGACCCTCAGGTGATACCCCTTCCCTGCTAATCTGGTCGGTACATTGGGAAGTGAGAGAAGCCATACCCTGGGGAAGCTGGAGTTTGTGGCATCTAATTTGGCTGGAGCAGGGAAAGAGATGCTGTCTTAGTCAGAGGGGCCTCCAGGGTTCTGTTTAATGAAGGGAACAAACTGTAATTGACAGAAGAGGGTTGTGGGCTGGCACCAGGCCAAGGAGTCAGAGACCAGCTTGAGCCAGGAAGGATATGGTATCGTTAAGCAGCTGTCACCATAGCATCAGCGAGGACATCGCCACTCAATAGGATCTGTAGACAAGACAACCTTGTAGCACCCTTGTTTGGAGGATCTGGGGGTAAGGATGCCTGGGAAGAGGCTCCCCTCAGAGGTGGAGACAGCCCAGGTAGGGATCGTGGGCCACTGTGCATTTCCTCGACCCTGGCCCAGCCTCTCTGCTCGCCTCCCAGCGGCCTCCTTACCCCATCAGCTCCACAGCTCAGCTTTACACCCCCTAGGCTCAGAGCAATGACACCTCTACTGCCCTCCCTCATGTTCCCCCACCTCTCCAACCCACTACACATAGTCTGGAAATGTGGCTTTAAACTCAGCACTAAAAAGAGGAGGAGATCATACCATGTACAGAAATAACCATGTTACTTCTTGCTTCCTCCTGGGGGCCAGGCTGGGGTTCCAGGTTTTATCCAGAGCTCATGCTGAACCCTGGAGGCAGAGGGAGGGGTGAGGGCTGTGAACAGACCCTTGCAGAGCCTAAGCACCCTGGGGTAGGTGCAAGGAAACTCTGAGGTAGAAGGAGAGGTTTGGCTGGGGCTTCAGAAAGAAGAGGGGGACCAGGGCTAGGTGCCCTGAAAGCACAGCACTGGGGGGATCCGCCCAGGCCTGGCCACACAGTTCTTAGCATGCAAGGACTAGGTGCAAAGCTTCAGGGCTAGCCCCAGCTTCGGGCTGCCAAAGATAGCCCATGTCCTCATGAACTGCAGCTCCTGGCATACCTCTGCCTTTGCCTTGCCGAGTGCCCTTGGGCAAGTCAGGAAGTTCCTCTAGGACTCAGTTTTCCCTTCTGTAAGAAGAGAACCCTCAGGTTGACCCTGAAGATCAAGTTCAGGATCTTTTTGTTCCCCAGGGTTTACAAACTCCTGGCACACAGAAGGTGCTCAGTAAACGTTTGCCGAATGAATGAGTGAAACAGAAACCCCTTGGAGAAGCCACAGAGTACCCCTTAGTGGCAGGGCTGATTTTGAGAAAAAGGGAGAGCCCCAGGTTTGCACTGGGAGTCTGGGCACCATTGCCATGGGAATCTGTCAGAAGAGCTGCCCTCCTGGGTATCTGGGAACAGGCCTTGCATACCTGGAATGACAGGCTGCCACTTCCCAGGGGAGGTGGAGGCAGCTAGGAATGAGGGAGGTGGCCATGTGACTTCCTACGGGGGGCCTGTCTTTACCCCCGCCGAAGAATGTTACAACCCTCGAAAAAGGTCCAGCCCTAGAAAAGTAGATGTAAGGGATCATAGAGTTAGGACCTGTGCGCAGCCCTAGTCCTGCCCTGTGTTGTCCCGAGGGCTCAGGGCTCCCTGCAGCTGCAAGGACTCCCTGCTCCACCTGGACTCCAGAAATGGCTGGGCGGAGGGAATCTCCTTCCCATCTAAGCCGCAGGGCCACCGTGGCTCTGTGGAGAGGCGACCGCTGGGTGACCGCTGGGGAGCCACAGCCAGCCCTGGCTCATGCCTCTCCCCCTCTTATCCCCTCCCTAACCAGAAAGAACTCACGACTACAGTTCAACAAGGTGAAGGTGGAGGACGCTGGGGAGTATGTCTGCGAGGCCGAGAACATCCTGGGGAAGGACACCGTCCGGGGCCGGCTTTATGTCAACAGCGGTAGGTGGGCCCCGACAGAGGGAAGGGTCCTAGAGGGATTTGGCAGGGCAGGCCAGGGGCCCCCCAGCCCTCGGGCCCTGCGCGTGATCCCTCTTGCACTCAACTCCCCTCCCTCCTGCTGGTGCCGTATCAAGCCCTAGATCTCAGCCGATTCAGAGAAATGCAGTGGAAGCATAAATGTTTAGCTTTGTTATCTGGGCCTGGAAGAGCCGCCAGCTCTCATTTTAAATACCCTGAAAACCAAATATTTTGAAATCAAGAGGTGGGGGTGGGGGGAAGGATATTTTTAGAAGGCAATTATAGGAGGCTGGGCTGCCGGGAGCGGGGCTGCAGAGAGAGGCAGGCCCGGGGTGTGTGCAAGCCAACTGCCTGGTGCCTGTTGCTTTGCTGGGCCCCTGAGCGCCGGCAGCCTTCTCCGCTGGGCCATGGGTGGGCAGCTTGGATGCCTGGGGCCCCTGGTGGCAGCCTCCGTTCAGGGAGGACAAACTCCTCCCTCACAGGCCATCCCCATTCCTTCAAGTCTTGCAAGGTCAGGACCTCACACACCTCTTACCTTCTTGTCTGGACGGTGGCAGGCCCAGCCTCAGGGTGGAGGCTGCCTTCCTGCTGTGCTGCCCTCTCAGGCCCTGGTTCTTTCCCTTGGCTGGGAAATTGCCGCTCCTCTCTGCCAAAGCTGCCTGTCCTCAGACAGTGCCCCCTCCCCTCTAGCCTGAGTACCTCAAGTCCCACAGATCACCCTCCTCCTCCCAACACATGCAGAGTGTGCCATTTGGCTACCTATCTATTGGGGTTTACTTCCAGTCCTGCCTGTCACAGAACCTAATCCTATATCTGTCATTATCTGCCTCTATTTCCACGAGACAGCCTTCCAATACGCCCTAAACCCAGCATGGTCCAAAAGATGACATGGAACACCCTGTGCACTGTGGCCCTCAGACAGAAACCTAGTTCAGACCCAGACTGTCCTGTACTGGTGAGGGACACCCCATCCTCCCAGCCCCTTGGGCTCCTTGGTCTCCCTTGCCACTGTGTCTAATAAGTCTGAGTCTCCATGTCCTTGCCAGTCTTCTTTCTGGATCTTTCTCATGCCTGCCTCTTCTGCTCCTCTAACTATCCCTCAAGGGTAACGCTGGCTCAGGCTTCATCCCTAGTCACCTGAACCAGAGCAGCGGCCTCCTAAGGTGCTTTTATCCTGTCATGTTCCCCACCCCACAGAACCACAGAACAGGGGCTTTGTTCTCACCACCCTGGCCTAAGTGATCTTCCCAACCTGACTTCCGTCAGTCCCCTGTCCATTCCATTCTTACTCTTGCTCCTATCCCATCTCTCCCAAGCAGCCTTCCTCCTGGACCATCCCAACCCACTACAACGTCTCTCCAGCTAGGGCTCCTCTCCTGGGCCCCTCCTTGGCCAACCACGGTCTGATGGCATCTCTTGAATTCTAGCCTTTCATTAGCCTTCAACTGTCATGCTGTTGCTGAACTTTCTCTGTGGACGTGGCCACCCCAGTGAATCTGTGAGCTCAGGAATGGGAGAACAGGGAGGATGTTTCTCCTGGAAGTTACAATGAGAGTATTTGTTGAGCCAAGTTCCACATTATCCCAAGAACCCGTGCTCAAAGCCAGGATATATTTTATAAATAATGAGAAGCTCAGAGAGGTTAAATATTTCACCAGGAGTCAAACACCTAGTTAATGATAGAGCTGTACCATGTAAAAGTAGTTGGCAAACACTTAGCCTTTGAGCTCCATGGGGCTATGTCTAGTCTGTCTACCACCCTAGCCTCAGGGCCTAGCACAGCACCTGGCTCACAGTGGGTGCCTGGTAGATATTACATAAGAGAACTTCTAACCTGCTCCGAGGTCTTTACTGCTTCCTCCATGGCCCAGCCTGGACATGATAGCAGTGGGGGTGTCTGAGCGCCAACTTCTCTCAACCTATCCCAAGTTTGGGAAAATGGGCTGGTCTGGAGTCTAGCACTCGCCACCTCTGCCATAGTGGTCAGACATTCTCAGATCCACTTTGGACTTGGGGCTTCCTGTTTCATTCGTCAAGACTTTCTTGATTAGAATTAACTTAAACCTATCTTAAGGGACTTATTTATTGGCTATATAAAACTGGTAAGTTCAGAAGTGGAACTGGCTCCAGGCGTGACAGAATCTAAGAACTCAGAGGAAAGGTCCAAGAACTCACAGGATGGGTCAAGACAGTTTCTCTCACTATATGTTGGCCTCATTCCTTCCTACTGTAAAATGGGCCTCTCCGTGTTTGGGGAGTGAGGTGGGAAGAGGAGGCCATGGCCTCAGACAGTTCCAGACCTACCACATCCCGGTTCCTTATAGTCAGAGCTCTGTCACCCGGAGGAAGGAGATAGCTTTGTCTCTGTGTCCATACGTACAGTCAGAAGCATGGATTCTGACTGACCTGTGCTGGGAGGGTGGGGACCATCTTTGCCTGGCCTGTGTGTGCACAGGGACTACTGAGAGGCAGAGCACTGAGTGACGGCCTGGCCAGAACTCCACGGAAAAGCACTTCCATAGAGGGGTGCTGTTAGCAGAGGAAGCGGGAGCAGCTGCCATGCAGAAAAGCACAGGAGTGCCCCCTCTCTTATACAGGGCTTGGGGCCTGTGGCCAGAAGTGGTGAGACCCCTCAGATAAGCCACAGTCCTGTCCCATGCCTGGATTCCTGTCAGCCCTCAGCGGGTGGTGCTCTGATCAGTTTAGGGACCAGAAGTGCAGGCTTTGGGCTGAGCACTGAGCACGTATCTGGAATCCCAGCTGCTCATAGCCTTCTTGCCTCTTGATCCTCCAGGGGAGCGGCAGGGCAGAGCAGGGGAAAGAGGTAGAGATTTGGTGTCATCCAGGCTCTATGTCATGCAGCCCTGAGTAAGTCACTTCATCCATCCCATTCTTCAGTTTTCCCATTGTGGGGCTGAACTAGATGATCTTTAAGCCCCTGTCCCTCTAAAATTCTGGGATTCTGAGTTTGATGTTGAGGCTGACATCCTGTGCACGTAACCAGTACACACACACACACATGCACACACGCCACACCACACCACACCACTTCTGCTGCCTCGTGCAGTCCGTGGCAGGCAAGAGCCTATCCTTGATGTGGAGAGGTGAACAGGGCCACTGCTGGGGACAGGAGGCCCCTGCTGTGGATGTTTTCCCAGGCAGAGATGCCGAAGCTCCTTGTTTATCCATGGAACCTATGAGACCTGCAGCAACCACACCCTGTGGTCTGCCCCCTCTGACTCATCCCAAGGTGGGTTGGTTTGGCCCGCCCAGGCCAAAGGGAAACCAGGGCTATAGGGATGGGGCGGCCAGAAGAGGGAACAGGGAGGCCATCGGGGCAACGCTTCAGCTCTTGGGTGGCTACTGGTCTGTTTGGGTGGAGCCCAGGGCTCCTTCCTCAGATCAGAGTAGGCCTTCCTTATAGTCAGAGCTCTGCCAGCTCTCAGCAGGTCCCCTCCTTCCTGAGCTGGCGGGCAGGAGGAGGAGCCGCAGTTTGTGGTACTAACACAATAGTCAGTTTGGTCCAACCCACTTCTGAGCTAGAGAAACAGATGCCTCATCTCAGGTGAAAGGCAGCTTGGGAATGTCCTGAGGTGGCTGTACCAGCCCTGATGTCAGGCTTTGCCCCAGAGGACAGGCAGGTTTGACCTGGGGTGTCATAGGACCATGGAAGCCGTGGAGAGGCCTCTGGGCCAGTCCCTCACCTGGAGTCTTGAAAAGGCTGGCTGTTTAAAAAACACACACACACGCACAGATGCACACTCATGTCAGTCACGCATTCAGCAAGTGCTTATTCAACCAGATCTTGCTGCAAGCTCTGGGGAGTCACAGTCTTGGCCCCCAAGGAAGTCCCTCAGATGGCAGGAAACTAAAACCTGAACTCTAAAAGTCTGTCTTTTCTAACAAACTCAGAGGAAGGTAGGCAATTTACCAAAGGGAAAGGGGCCTCGATGGATGAAGAGGCACTCGATCTGAGTCTTGAAGGACAGGCAGAAGTTGTCTCCATGAGCAAAGGTGGTAAGCAGCTGCAGTGTGGACAGCAGGGGACACATCTCCACAGCAGCGGCTCCCGCCCTGCCACTCTCACTCTGCAGGGGCTCTGATAAACTCACACCAAGACACTAACAGTTTATCAAAACTTCCTGGGCTTACCCCTTCCAGGCACTTTTTTAAATTAAATTTTCGAGCTATAACTTACATACCATAAAATTCACCATTTTAAAGTATACAATTCAGTGATTTTTACTATATTCACAAAGTAATATAACCATCACCACTAATTTCAGAACATTTTTGTCACCCCAAAAAGAAACCCCATAACCTCTAGCAGCCATTCCCATTTCTCCCTCTCTCCAGCTGTGGCAACCACTAATTCTGGACATTTCATATAAATAGAGTCATACAATATGTGGCCTTTTGTGACTGTCTTCTTATACTTAACATAATGTTTTCAAGGTTCATCCTTGCTGTAGCATGCATCAGTACTCCGTTCCTTTTTATGGTTAAATACTATTTCACTGTATAGACATGCCACATTTTATTTATCCACTCATAAGCTCGGATTCCTGGGTCATTTGGATTTTTCCACATTTTGGCTGTTATGAATGATGCTTCTGTGGATATTTGGGCACAAGTTTTGTGTGAGCATAGGTTTTCAATCTCTTGGGGATACACCTAGGAATGGAATTTCTGGAGCACATAATGACTATGTTTCATTTTTTAAGGAACTCCCAGACTGTTTTCCAAAGCAGCTACACTATTTTACATTCCCACCAGCAATACATAAGGGTTCTAATTTCTCCACATCCTCGCCACCACGTTATTACCCATCTTCTCGATTCTGACCATCCTAGTGAAAGTGGCATCTCAGAGTGTGTGTGTGTGTGTGTGTGTGTGTGTGTGTGTGTGTGTGTGTTTTAGAGAGATGGGGTCTTGCTACATTGCCCAGGCTGGTCTTGAACTCCTGGTCTCAAGTGATCTTCCTGCCTTGGTCTCCCAAAAGTACTAGGATTACAGGCATGAGCCAGCCATGAGCTTGACCTCACTGAAGCTTTGATTTTCATTCCCCTAATGTCCTTTCCAGAATATTTGCATTTAATAGGAGACAGTGCTTTAATCTACCAAAAAGATATCATCATCCTCCAAGGATACCAGACTAGTCCCTGGGATGGTAGCAGAGAGCACTGTTTCCTCCAAAGAATAAGATATTTATTTTCTCATTCATTCATTCAGTAAATATTTGTTAAACACCTGTTATGTGCCAGGCGCCATTGTAGACATTGGGGTTCAGGGCAAACATGTCAGACATGGCTCCTGTCCTAATGGAGCTTACATTCTAGCAAAGGAACTAAGCATTAAACAGCAAAGAGGTGGTGGGGCATGGTGGCACATGACTGTAATCCCAGCACTTTGGGAGGCTGAGGCAGGTGGATCACAAGGTCAGGAGTTTGAGACCAGCCTGGCCAATATGGTGAAACCCTATTTCTACTAAAAAAATACAAACATTAGCTAGGTGTGGTGGCATGCACCTATAATCCCAGCCACTTGGGAGGCTGAGACAGGAGAATTGCTTGAACCCGGGAGGCGGAAGTTGCAGTGACCCAAGATCACGCCACTGCATTCCAGCCTGGGTGACAGAGAAAGACTCTGTCTCAGAAAACAAAACAAAACAAAACCAAAAAACCAGCAAACAGTTGCATACCTGGTCATGTAATTATGTTAGAATAATCATAAGTAGAAGTATATGAAGCTAAGAGAGGGAATAAGGGAGAAGCCTGACCAGCTTAAGAAGTCAGGAGACTCCTCCCTGAGACACTGATATTTTGAACATCGTGGAGGGCACCTGCTTCTTAGAGAAGCAGAGCTATGACCAGTGTAGTGTGAACATACCGGAGGAGACAGGTGGGAGATGAAGTGGGAGAGGTGGTCAAGCTCAGATTAGACCTGGGGAGAAGTTGGGGGCTTTATTCTAAGTGCAAATGGAAGCCATTGGAGAGCTTTGATAATAGAAAAGATTTATTCCATTGACATATTTTAAAGACCACTGTGGCTGCTGCAAAGTAAAAGAGATGAAGGCAAGAGTGAAGGCAGAAAGACCAGAGAGCAAGCTATTGTGGTCATCAAAGAAAGAGACAACAGTGGCCTGAAGTAGGGGAGGAGATGCGGGCGTGGATGGAGTCTGTGTGTACAGATACGCCGCGTTGCCACGGGAGCCCACACGTGCTAGAACAGTGTGACTGCACCACAGTGTGAGTGCACATCTTCCGTGTGGCATCTCCCTAGAGTGTGGCTTCCCCGCTGGCAGAGGTGGGCCGTAGTGTCTTAGGAAGACCTTGCCATTACAGAGGAGTGGCCTTTCTGAGGTGGAAACTCCTGTGGTCACTCTTGCCGCCACACCCCCTGTGACTGGCTCCCCGACTATCCTCCCTTTTTACCTTTCCGGGGCCCCAGCCTAGTCCCCACGACAACATGATGCTGGCAGCCTGCGCTCAATGCACGTGGCTGGGGAGGCCCCGTCTTTCTTCGGGAGTTGTCCTTGGCCTCCCAAGGCCTCGATGAGCGCAGACATATGTGTGAGAAGCCCAAGTGTGCAACTGTGGCCCCAGCCACCCCAGCATCCTCCCTGCTCTCCACTGCTCGCTTGGCTGGGGTGAAACAATGGGCACAGCAATGGGCAGTATATGCCACCCGCAACTGCAGAGGACACCAGACTGGTCCTGACAGATCCAGGCTGAGATTTCTCTGGCTGAGCCGAGGCCCACAGGAGATCCCAGGCCTGTGGTCCTCACTGTGCTTGCATTCGTCTGCTTATGTCAAGCCTGGGTGCTGATGACGAGGGTGCACAGCCAGGGGTTAGGAGCCCTGCGGCTCTGTTGCAACACACACTGCACTCTGGCCAGACACTTTGCTGTCTTCTCTCTCTTCATCCCTCCCGTGCAATGTGAATGAAGGGCAGGACAACCTCAAGGGTTCTCCCAGCAAGGGGGTTTTACAACTGGCAGGCGAGGTCACCTCAGCTGTTGCTCTTCTCTGTCCCTTTCTTAGTTCCCTGGGTCTCACTGACCCAAAAGTGGGGCAGGGATCAGCAGGAGGTCTCCAGTCCCAGCCAGCATGTGGGTTCCAGCTGGGTCTAAGGTTGAGCCAAGGAGGGAGAGACCTCAGCAGGGGTGGGGCTCCGGGATGCCAGCTCAGTAGCAGGCATGATGTGGAGGGGACGGTGAAGCCGGCCCTGCCCGCTGGATTTTATCAGCGTGCTCCTCAGACATATACAGAGGCAGAGCTGTGTATACACTCCCAGCCCCCCGCGCTCCATCCGTCTCCCCACGTCTAAACACTGAGGATGCCGAGTGCCTGCCATCCTCCTCCTCCTCTCACTTCCACCCCCATTGCTGCGGGGAGTGAGAGAGACCCGGTACCCCTGAGGAGACAGGGCCAGCCAGGGCAACTCGGGCCACCTCATTCAGGAGGCCACTGCCCGGCTGCGTGGAAACCAGAGGCCCTCAGAGGCCCTGGGAGCTGAGGGAAGCAGGACCTGCTTCTGGCTGTCCGGTCTGGATTGGACAGGGCATTATCTAAAACTGATGTTTGGGGCAAGAATGTTCACTTGAAGCCAGCTTTCTGGATGCCATTCCCTGATGAGGAGCAGCGCTCCAGTGACGTTCATTTCTCAAATGAGTCCAGTCAATCAGACATGCAGTCTTAAAGCCCAGCCTTGCTCTCCCCAAGTTTCACATCCCAGCTGCCCCCATCCCTTTCCCCAGCCCTGTCTCCTCAACAACCTGAAACCCATGATTTATGACCGGGGCTCTCCAAGACCTGGAGGCTCCCTCCAGGAGCAATAGCTGATGAGGTTGGGGAGGAGGGGGCTGTCTGGGATGGGGAGATGTGGAGAAGACCCCAGATGCTTATGGAGATGGGGCATGGTAGCCTTTGAAGCATTCCTGGGAGGTTTGAAGCCAGCCCAGCCCTTGGAAAAAGGGGGAAGAGGGTAGAAGCTAAGGTTTCTCCTACCCCCAACACCTCTCCAGATCTTAGAAAATGACAGTGTCCTGAAGGTGCCATCCCCTGCAGTCCCAGCTCCCTTTCAGCCACTCCCTGGTCCACCATGAGAGCCCAAGCCTTGCAGGCAGGTGTAGGTGTCTTCCCTGCAACCCCTCATGGGTTTGTTCCCCACATGAGACATCAGAATCTCAACTACCTGCAAGGGAGCCCCCAGAAAGCCAGGCAGGGAAGGGGAGAGGTGGGCTCTTATTCAGCATAGGAAGCAGTTCCTGCTATTTTCTCACCCCATGCCCCGCCCCCAACAAAAGAATGAAAATCTTCCTGGCCTTTGGAAGCTCGCCTAGAGCTTGGGTGCAGGGTTGCACTGGGCAGACGGGCAGAGCTCATGATGGCCTCTCCTTTGCCTCAATAATGACTAGAAGGGACCATCCCAGTCGTTCCTGCAGCCTCTGGTCATCTTCCAGTTTTGAGATGGGGCATGAGGGAGATGATAGCTGGGGCCTAGACATGGTCTCAGTGGGTCACTGGCACATGTCTCTCATACCCTCAGTGAGCACCACCCTGGCATCCTGGTCGGGGCACGCCCGGAAGTGCAACGAGACAGCCAAGTCCTATTGCGTCAATGGAGGAGTCTGCTACTACATCGAGGGCATCAACCAGATCTCCTGCAAGTAAGTGACCAGTAGGGGTGGGCACGGGGGCAAGAGCAGGGTAGGAGATGCTGGGTCCGAAGTGGAGGGCTCTAGGAAAAGCGGGTTCCAAGCCACTGACAAGGGTTCCCCAAGGGGTGTAGACAGGAAGCTTTGTCCTACTTCCTAGCCCTTTCCTGGAATATGAGGAGATATAAGCTCTAAGGGGCACAGGGGCTTGTACAGTCCCCATTTCCCAGGCCCCTACCCACCCCATCTCCTGATGTCTACCCTTTCACCAACACCCTTTAGGGAAATGGTGAAAGTCTATGCCCTAGGCACTGGGCACTGGGTTCTGTCTCTTTCTCTCTCTCTCTTACTCTCCCTCTCTGTCTCTTTCCCTCCCCTGGTCTCCCTTTCTCCCCCTCTTTTCCTCCCCATCTCTCAGCAACTCTCCAAACTTTGTTCTTAATGAACATGTCCCAGGCTGCATCTTTCCCAATAACAAGGAGCCTGGCGTGGCCAGAGCGCAGATGCCAGAGCCCTCTGCTCCTGTAGTCTTGAGAGGAGAAGAGGGGTCTGCCCAGAACCCAGTACTGACCTCAGGATCTGGCTGCCCTTCTGCCCTACAGGACCCCATTGTACAAAGATGCCCTGGGTGCTGCCTGTGCTCCTTCAGCCCTAGCCCCCTCTCCATGGGATGAGGGGACACCCGCCACTCTGAGTATGGCCCAATGGCAGAGGTCAGGGTGGAGGAGAGGCTCAGGCTGGGGTCTCTCTGCCTCCCCAGGAGCTAGAGCCTGCTCAGCAGCCAGGCAGGGTGGCCCCAGCAGGAACTCCAAGGGGCTCGGAACCACCCACTCCCCATAGCAAACAGGGCAGGTGGGAGAGAGGCTGTCAGGGAGGCCTTGTTCAGGCCCAGCCAGATCTTCTGGGCAGCTGGGCCTACAGTGCCCGCTGGACAGATTCTCTGGTGAGTGTGTGAGGAGGGGAGGAGAGCTTGGTGAGGGCAGCACAGGCTCCCGACAGATCTAGGGGAGGAGTGGGGGGTGGGGCTAGTTAATAACTTAAGTGTTTCAAAGCAGCCCAAGCCTAGAGCCCTGGCAAGGTGCTAAAGCTGCCCCATTCCCATGGCATCTGGGCAAAGGCCACCAAAACATCGGTGGAGATTCAGAGAGAGATGTTTGACCTTCCCCCAGACCAGGTCAGACTCAGCACTTCTCAGCTCCCCTGCCTCTGATCTCCCACTCCAGATCCACAGGCCCCTTCCTGGACACAGCCTTGCCCAGGAATGTTAGCCTGGTGAGGAGGCCAGGACTTTTAAAGACCCCTCCACCTAACAACATGGTAACAAGGGGCCGCACCTCCCTTATGCTCACCTCAGTGCTGGGTGACCAGCCCGCACTGCCAGGCAGAACCGTGACTCTTGCCCCCACTGGCCTCTTCCCTGGCCCCAACCATACCTGCTACCATCTCTTTCCCACCCTCCCCAATCCCAAATCTTAAGGGACAGTCCCAATAGCAACAACAGGCCCTCTAGGGAAGTTCTCAACCCACACTCAGCCCCTCATCCTTCCCCACCTTCTGCCTCTAGGAGGCTGCCATGTTAGTATGACAAACCCTAGGGAACATTCTAGCCTTGAAACTTGAGTTCTTTGGAACAGATCTACTAGAAACTCACAAGGGTCCAGCATACCTCACAGGGATGGCCCAGCCCTGCATCCCCCTTTCCTTGTCTCCTGCACCCTCTTCCTCCCCATGACATACACACCAGGTCTCTCCTCTTCCCGAGCCCCTTGGACCCCTGAACCTTGAAGGGATCCAGCACTGCCACTGAAGTCAGCCCTCATCCAGGCAGGGAAGGTTCTGGCCCCTCAGGCCAGGTGCCAGGGCTGAGGAGGGCCATGGGGGCCAGGGTTCCAGTGCTAGAGTTTGGTGTGAGCAAGGGAGTGGTGAGCTACATGGGCTCCAGGAGGGCCCTGCCAGCAAGGTTGCACCCCTAGGGCTCCTGAGTCCTGCCCAGCTAAATGAGAAGAGCAGAGGCAGGAGCCTGAGCCTTGTGAAGACGGTGCCCTGTTCCCCTCCCCACCAGGGCAACTGGGCTGCACTGCTTAGACCTGGGTACCCAGAGCCACCACTTCCCCATCTCGGCCACCCCTGGTTCCAGCTGAGGTGCCTGGAACCAACTTCCCTGACTCCCTTTGTCAGCCCTTGGGGGAGAGGGGCATCCGTCCGAATGGCAAGTCCTCAGAGCTGTGCTGGAGAAGGGCAGGGGGGTGGGGGGCCGGGCAGAGCCCAGAGGCCATTCTGGGGGTGGACGAGCTGGGAGGGAAGGGGGGCAGGCCTCTCGGGGTTCCTGATGACACCTGAATGGAATAAAAAGGAAAGAACTTAGGAAACGGAACTCACGTCTTACCATTTGTGCTGTTTGTTTACTTTTTATTTTGATTTTTTTGCATTTCCGCTTAGCTTGGATAATGAAACTACACTGGTCAGTTTCATTCCAGTTTCTATAAAAATCAGTTTTCCTTCCTGGTTTTCTTACACTTGTTGTTGTGTATTGGTTCAGAGCCCTGCAGGGAGTGTTGGAAAGCAGGCACACTCCGTCCCTCCTGTTTTTCTGGAATTCAGTGCCAAAAGAAACAGTGTCACTGATACTGAATTTTGTTTTAAAAAAGACAGCGTAGAGGGATTTGAAAATGGGAGTCCAAATCAAGGTGACTGTCCCCTGTCTGGGTCAGACAGGGGCCTCTGCACTCCCTCTTGCTGCTTTCTCCTCTTCTCTCCGTGTGTTTGTAGAGCACGGTTGGTGCGTGACTCTTGGGGACTGGTTCAGGGGATGATGACAGAACAAGACTCTTTCCAGCCCTGTGCACATACCAGTGGCATGCCTCCCCTTCCCATCAGCTCATCCCCCTCATCCCTCTGCCCCTACCCCACCCATGTCCAGGTAATTCCCCATCCCACCCCCATCTGCCTGCTCACCCTCACCACATCTTCACCCTTCTCATGAACTCAGAGGCCCTTCACTCCCTCCAGTGCCCGGGGCACACCGTCATCCTTCATCCACCCCCTCCTCCGGGTGAGGGCAGCACACATGGCATTATCCCCAGGCTACTAAAAGGAGAAACTGAGGCCCGGGAGGTGGGGTGGGGAAGGGGAAGGCAGAGGTCCTGACCTCTCTGTCACCCCAGATGCAGCCCGTGGGCTCTCCTCTCTGCCCCTCTCTCACCCTGCTCTTCTCCAGCCCTGGGGACAGACCTTCCCAGAGTCATAGCCGATGACCCAGTGGGAAAGGCTGGGAAGGCTGTTACCTGCTGCTTCTAATCTGTCCACTAGGCCCCTGAAAATCAGAGAATCAATCCCAGTTTCAGTGGAAACCACCAACCACCACCCAGCCCCCATTGCTCAGTTCAGACTCCCATCCTGGTTGATAGGCTAATGTACCCCATACTCTCTTACCCTGGTCTTAGGTGCAGGTTAGAGAGGCTATAGGCCCAGCTCACCCACAAAGCCTTCTCTAGGGAAGCCCTAGCCTCCTGAATGTGACTCATCCTCAGCAAACAAGACTAAGGAGAGAAACAGGAGTGTCCAGGAGGTCCCTGAAGGAGCCAGTGCCCCAAAGAACGAACAGTAGTTGCTGTCAGCCTTCCACCACCCCTCACTGTGCCTGTCCCCAGTGCCTTTTGTTTTGTTCAGCCAGCGGGGAGCACATTTTCTTAAGGAAGGAAGGTTAGGACCATAATATTGTGCAACTCAGCGGCCATGAAAGATGTAAGGATGTAGTCAGGGTACTCCAGGCCACAGGGACGTATGGAGTTGTCATTGATCTCCAAGGGTCTTGGGGCAGTGGCCCCGCTTATCAGCAATGGAAATACATTTCCCCTTGCCCCTTCTGCCCCTGTACTCCCCTATTCTCTCTCTGTCTGTCATACACACACACACACACACACACACACACACACACACACACACACACATTCATACACATACACAGGTTTCCCTGCCTCCAAGAGCTGGGCTGATCGCAGACATTGGACACACGTGCATCTGTCTCTTTCTTGTTCCTTTGTGGAATCCAAGAGTCATTTTGGCAACTTCCTGGGTCTTTGGCAATCCTCCACTCCCAAAGGCACTTATGTTTGAAAATCACTTCTCCCCCTCTAGTCCCCATCACACGTGGACATCAGTTTCCAAGAGCTGAGGAAGAAGAGCTGAGCCTGGCTGGAGCTGGTCTGGTTGGGAAGCCTTAGCCACTACCTCCATTTTCCTGAGCTGGGATGAATAGGGACGAGCGCCAGGGATCAGAGAAGGACGTGTTGACGAGGGGGCTGATGGTGGTCTCCTCCCCCAAGCCACCTGTTCAACAAGATGAGCATGCACCTCTCCCCACCAATGCCACTTTCCTGATACACTTCCCAGCCCTCCACTACCCCTCCATTAGCCAGGCAAACCTCCACACAGACTCCTACCACTACAGGACGAACCTCCTGCCTCCCCTGGGGGAGATGCCATCAAGGCCCAGAGAAACTACAGCCCTCTGCTCAATGCCACTCCCATTCCCCACTCCTCCAGATCTGAGGTCACAGATGTTCATGAGTATCTGCCACAACCAATGGCCACCACTTACTGTAAGCCTAAGTGGCTTCCTGATGGTTGCTATATACTGTAATGCTAGGAAGTTGAGTACACTTGCCTCTTGAGGAAGTTTAAATGGATTAATTTTGAAGAATAGTCTGTTACTGAGGAAGATACTGGTGATACACCAATTTCCTAAGGAAGAAGATGCAGAGGCAACATAGACCCATCTCTGAGTAGGGAGATGTGGGGAAGGGGTCCAGCCCTCCCTGTAAGCTTCTCCTTAGGTATCTGGCCTTGTTGGGGTTCAGAAGAGAGTACAGAGTTGGGCATGTCTCCCAGAAATCTTCAAGAAATCTGAGACTAACTTGAGGAGAGGGGTGGCAGCCAGAGAGCAGAAGAAAGTGTGCCTTAGGGGTAGGGACAAGGTCAGGGAGATTGAGTGGGTGGTGCTTTGGAGCTGTAAGCAAGGCAAGATCAGAGAATGAGATCCAGGGCAGGGCCAGGCAGTGATGGAGGAATAGGTCATGGGGAAATGGAAGGGCTTCCCAGGATGGCTGCCAGTAGGCCCTTGATGGGGACCAGCTTCCAGGGTCCCCCAGTGAGCCTGCTCCAATCCCTGTTGCGGTCCTTGCCACCTGAGACCAGATTCCCTGCACCTGGTATCAGGAAGGCCCACTTTGGGATGCTGATAATTCCAGCTCCTTCCAACTTCCCATTTCCCTACTGAGCTTTTCCCATGTACATTGCACTGGGGCGGGCTTCTCCAAACCATATTCTACAAGGGTTCCTCAAAAAACAACATCCACGGTGAAATAAATTTGAGACGAACCTACATGGAAAGTTCAGCTATTTCCTCCTATGCAACTTTCATAGTCTTTCATAGGTGAATGTGCACTGCAACTCTGCAAGGCACCCTGAGAATGCATTTCCTACATTGATTTAGCCACAGAACCCTCTTTGAGAGAACAGATAAAACATCTCCTAGATCATAGACATACAGTCTGGGAACAGCATTCCCAAGTTCTCCGAGCTTTCTGGGAGCTGTTTCTTGGATGAGAAAACCTGCCCAGGGCCCAGGAGAGAACCCCTCAGTAGGTCCTGGGAGGAGCTCCCAAGAACTTGGTATTCCTTAAGGCTCCCAGATCCCTACCAGCTGACTGACTGCCTGGCACCAAGAGGCCACAGTTCTTGCTTCATGGGGCACCAGGCAGGTAAGAAGGAAAGTCTCAATGGCCAGTAGGACAACTTCCCATCTTCCCTCACCCCGCTTCCCTAAATCATCCTCCTCCCTGGCCCACCCCACCGTCCCCACCACCCATGGAGCCACATCTGTTAGACAGATTTTTAAGGAGATCTCAGAGCCCTCCACCCAGCCCCGACTCCAGTCCCTTCAGCTGCAAGTATGACCCCAAGTGCCTGACTCGGTTTTTCTCATTCATCACTGTGCACTTTGATTTCTAACCTTAGCCTCGCGGATGATGCCAGTTTGTTCTGTGATTTTTCCCCTTTTCCTTCTCCAGATGTCCAAATGGATTCTTCGGACAGAGATGTTTGGAGAAACTGCCTTTGCGATTGTACATGCCAGATCCTAAGCAAAGTATGTTTGAAGATACAAACACAAGTCCCTGCTCCTTAGAAAGCTTCCGGGTGCAGTCCCCCCGATGTAGGGCGTAGGGCCAGGGGTGTTGGTTGTTTTGATCTTTGGCTGTTTTGTTTTGTTTCTCTTTTCTTTTTTGTATTTTGGTTTGTTAGTTCTTTTTGGTTTTGGTTTTGTTTTGTTTTGCTTTGTTTTCATTTTTGGCCTAATCCTTGGGTTTAAAGTTCAGGGCTGCAGGTAAGGGGCAGAGTGGCAAGGCCAATACAAATGGTAACGGTGGCAAGGAACCCAGCTGGCATTGGCAGGAGCCCGTGCCGGGGTGTTGCAATGCCTGTGTCTTGCTATCCTGGCTCTCTCTTTCTGGTTTTCTTTCTTTTGGTAGGTGTCCTGTGGGATACACCGGGGACAGGTGTCAGCAGTTCGCAATGGTCAACTTCTCCAGTATGTCTCTTTCTTCTACTTCTTCTCTTCCCTGGTGACTGACAGTCTCCCCCTGGGGAGGGATGGGGCCTTGCTTAGCAAAACTAGGAGGAGATGCAGAGGGTGTCCTGCCCTCCTCTCAATCCTCGGTGCTCACAGAAGCCTGGGCAGAGGGGATGGAAACGCCCCCTGGCACCCCCACTTCCGCATGTGGGCTGTACCTCCTGGGCACAGTAATGCTGAGATCTCTCTGCAGCAGCCAGGGCCACACCCAGGCCTTCTCCTGACTTCTGGGGGTCAGGCAGCCCGGCCAGAATGGGAGGAAGCATTTGCAGAGCCTTCCTGTGCCTCCGAAGGCTACCTGAGGGGACCGATGGGACGGGCAGTGAGTGTGTGCTCGTGTGTGTGCTGGCGTGTTTGAGAGAGAAAAAGTTCTCAGAAAGCCCATTTTCCAGAGTTTGTTTGTTTTGAGGGTTTGGAAACAGGGTAGAGGGAAGAAAGGGGAATTAAGGGAGAGCAGGCCCCAGGGCAATGGTTTCCATGGATACCAGCGATATTCACGTGGCTACAAGATGGGGGGGCGGGTCGGCGGGGGGTGTGTTGGTGCTGGAGATGCTAAAAGGTTGAGGAATTGAGGGGTAACTGGTGACTCTCTCCAGCACCTCTGTGGTCTGAATCCTCCTATCTAGGATTTTATTCCCTTTCTTTCTTCGAATTCTGATGTTAGACTTTTCTCTGTTATACAGTTTGCAAAAAAAAAAAAAGAAAGAAAGAAAGAAAGAAAAAGAGAGAGCAAGAGAAAGAAAGAAAGAAAAAGAGAGAGAGAGAGAAGGGAAAGAAGGAGAAAATTAAAAAAAGAGAAAAAGAAAAGTGAGTCCCGAGCTCCAAGGACACAGCCACAACTGTGGAGTGTTTTCTTTGGGGCCTGAGAGCAATTCCTTCCAGCACCGCCAGGTGGAGGTGAAGCAGAGCAAAAAGCCACTGGCCAGCCACGGATTCCGCTTGAGGGCTAGGGGTCCGCTGGCTTGCAAGGCCTGTCCCCAGTCACCCATCCCATCCTGCAGAGCAGGCTGGGCCCCTGCTTCCCCCCACCCCCCACCTCCTCTTCTCCAGGGAGGACAGCTGGGCCCCATGAGGAGTTTGGAACCAAGTGTCCACAGGGCACTGGATACTGGGAGGTGGAATTCTGGGAGATGCTGAAGGGGGGACCCAGGGAGCCATGTCGGTAGCCCTTGGAGAAAAGGGGTTTGGGGATTTGGGTCTCAGGGTGGAGAAATGATCCTTCCCTGTCCTTGTCAGACCACAGCACAAAAGGTCAGCAAGTTACTCCCCATTCCAACCCCACAGGGGCATAGAGGCCCCATGGGTGGGAGCTGCTTGGCCCAGATGGTCAACTCTTAGTGGAGTTTGGGAGGCCAAGGAGGAAGGGCAGAACCTGTGGGCAGGACATGCGGCCCAACAGAATTCTCTAGATCATGGGCTCTGCAATCATTTCAGAGTCATACCCAGCCCTTTGTGGGAGACGATAGAGCAGGAGGGGCCTCAGGAGAAGGCAGAGCCCAGGCAGAGCAGGGGGGCAGGTGGGAGACACAGTGAGGCGATATTCTTCTCGGCAGAGAGCCTCCCAGGCTTGCGGGACTGTTCTGGACAGGGAGCCCCGGCCTGTCCTAAATCAGAGCAGCAGAGCCTCCGGAACCTGGGCTGCAATCCAAGGCCTCTCTGCCAGCTGGGCTGCTTCAGCTTTCAGCCCAGGTCTGCGGGGAGGGTCAGCAGGGCCCCAGGAGCCCAGAAAAGATCCTGTAAAGGCAGTCCAGGCCTTTCTGCCTAGTGTCTTCAGGAGCTTGACTGTTACCTTTTCGTAAAGGATTTATCCTCTTCAAGCACTTTCCCAGAGAGCACTCATATATTGCTCTAGCAGATAATTACAGAAAAGGTGGTATGAAGTGCTGGCTTAAGTGTTCAGGCTTCAAATTCAAAGAGATCTCAATAAAAATCCCAGCTGCTGAGCTTACTAGTTTGGGGGCCTCTTTAACCTCTCAATTTGTTTTCTTATCTGTAAAATGGGGATGATGACATTCATGCCTGTGGGGTCACTGTGAGGATGAAATGAAGGGCTGCATATGAAGGGCTTAGCAGAGAGCCTGCCGTTATGATTGGAGTGCAGTTTAGTACCTCTCCCAGCTACAGCTGGCATGCGGGGTGGGCAGCATCAGCCCCCTAGAGGCTGACTCCCAGCACTTCCTGAGCAAAGCCTCCAACCTTCACACCCTGCCCAGGCAGCATCTAGACCAGGTTATCTTTTGCAGAGGTCAAGGAAAGAGGCTGTGACTGCAATAGCACATTGAAGCTTCTCCTTCTTCCACAAACAGCCCCTCCACTCCCCATGGGTCAAAGCTTGTCCATCTTTATGTCCCCATGTAAAAGAGCACACATACTTGTGCACACAAGCACACACACATGAGCACAGGCTCATATATGCACAAACACACAATCATGTTCTGACATGGCTGCACACATGAGGAAACCCATGAGCATGTGCTCACACCTGCCCGTACATGTGCAAACACAGGAACTCACGCTCACCTCCGTACACACATCACTGCCTCCTTGTTCAGGCACCCTATGACTGTGTGTTATGGAACATGTCCAAGATGAAGAGTTTGCATATTGTCTGGTAAGCACGGCCCTGTCGGGAGTCCAGCATCATGTTGCCATGGTTACTGGGTCACCATGCAAATTTCTGGTTAATAGGCCCTTCCTGTGACTCAATGGTACCACTCCACCCTGGCTGAGTGGCAGCCAATGAACATAATGAGTGGGAAGCTCTTCTCTTTGCTGGGGCAGAGCCAGCCATAGGCCCCTCATGTTCCATCCCACCCTTCCCAGTGAGAAAGCTGCCTACCCAGTGAGTGGCCAAGCCCTCAGTGACCCCACCAACGGTGCCAGCCACCACTCTAAACAGTACTGGCCTTTGACTCAAAGAGGAGGCCAGTTAGGAGCCCTGGAAGGTGTCACCCCAGAGGGGTGACACAGAAGAAAACACTTACAGGGCTTTGGTAGCCCTGCTCACTTCTTCAGATGGCCATTGTCCTCAGGAATACCCAGCCAGGCCTGCCCAGAGACTCAGTGGACAGGAAAGCCATGGCTTGGCACCAAGGGACCAAAGATCTGGCTTTCAGTCTGCCTTCTGCCCCCTAATTTGCTGTGTGACCTTGAGAAAGTGTCCTAGCATCACTGGGCCCCAGCTGCCTCATCTAATACAATCTTGACCAAAAGCGGGGCCCAGATCAGTGCTATGAACCCGATCTTCTTAGTGCCCCAGGTCCCTGTGGTCAAGCTGGGCTGTCCTCTCAGGGCAGCATGGCTGGACATCCAAACAATGTGAGCTTTCCGGCTGCCTGAAGGGCCCCTGGGTGTCAGCACTAACTACTCAAAGAGGTGCGCCAGGGTTCTTTGAGAATTGTCAAGTTTCTACTGTCTACTCAGCCCAGCTGACCAGCCCTGGGACACCCTGGAGAGAAGTGGACAAACTGTACTTAACTTTTTCCTGCCTCCAAGCAGTCAGAGTGAGACTGCAAAGAAACCAGAACTTCAAGGTCACTCCCCAACCTGGGATTTAATAGCAGTACAAGAAGGGCTTGTGTCTGGAAGGGCTGGGAGTAGTGCTTCATTGGTGTGGTCTCTGCATGGAACTGGGGGGGGTCAAAGCCCCAGGATCTTCCTCAAGGCTCTTCAGTCAGAGCCATTGCAGACCCTGGCTCAGAGCCACCCTGCTCTCCTACCCTTTTCCAAATGCAGAACCCTCTGGAATCCCTATCAGGAAGTAGATGAGAGGTCCAGGGATGGATAATGCGCAGGACTTCCTGCAGATTGCCACACATTCACCTTCCTCCGAGGCAGATGAGAACATCAGACACAATATAACATCCTCCCTGGATCTAGTGGAGCCAACTGCACCTAGGGAAGCCAGAAAGTGAGCAAATCAAGGCTGGCAGGAGCAGGGCCCTTGCACGGGTGCTGAGCTTATGCCTTTAGGCTTGTTCACATCTTCCTCTAGCTGTGTCCAGGCACTTCGGACAGACGAGGAAACAGGGATTATGCCTTATCCACATCCACATAGTGAATTAGGGATGAAACTGACACTCCAGGCCTGCAGACCGATGCTGGCTGCTACCTTAGAATGGTAGGTGAGATTTTTTAAAAACACTGTTGAGATTTCTGGGCTCCCACCCCAGAGCCCGACTGCCTTCGTCCAGACGATTCCGAAGTTCAGCCAGGTTTCCAAACCTCCTAGGATCCTATGTCCCAGCCTGTTGCCCATTTAACAGATAAGAGACCGAGACTTAACTAGATTGGTATCACTCAGGGTCTCACAGCAGCAGGTCAGTGCAGAGCTGACCCTTGAGTCAGGGTACATTTATCTAACCCTTCCTGGTATGGGGGTCTCCATCATAGGGTCCTGAAACCACACATTCAAAACACGATCCCACTTCCAAGAATGTAATTTGCCCACCATTTGAGGAGCTCAGGCATTCAACAAGTGAACCCACTTGTCTCTTGCTCTGAGTTGCCGTTTGCTCTTCTCAGTAGTGAAATCAGGCTCAGGCACCAAGGTCCAGCCCTGTAGGCTTCTAGGGTGTTGGAGTGTCAAGTAGAGAAGTGGCCTGCTGTCTAGAACCTTGTCCTCTTCTTCCCGCTCCCTCCCGCAGACTCTGAGGCTCCCCACCCGGGCTCCCAGTAGGTGGACAGGCCAGCTAGGCCTGTGGGGCAGGCAGGGACATGGGGCCGGTCTGGGAAACTCATGCCTGCACTCTGAACGACAACGACAAAAAATAGCGCCACTGATGAGGGAGCTGGGCAAGCTGTCTGCAGGAAGGCTTGAGAGTTGAGAGTGCTGAAGGCCTGGCACTGACGCTGGGAGGAGCAAAGAGCTCCTGAGACCCCACCCCACTCACCTTTCCTCCCAGGGACATTTGCCAACTGACTCTTGCGCCTCTGCCTCCCCACCAGGTACTAACCCCACAGCTCATCTCTAAAGAGCCTGCCCTGCCTGCTGTTTCTAACATCTCCCTCTCTACTCCTTGGGGCTCACTTGGGGACTGGGTGTTAGGGAAGGAGCTCAGGAGGCCGGGAGGGGACACTACTAACCTGCTTTCACCTCGCAGGGTGGCTTCCTGGTGTCTGAAGAGTCCTGACCAACGTTTCTGTCTCTCTCTCCCCCTGCCCCGCCCACCTGTCTCTCCCTCCACCCTTCCCTCTCTCACCTTCCTCTCTTCTGCACTGCCAGAGCACCTTGGATTTGAATTAAAGGGTATGAAATGTCTGTGTGTCACTCAGCGCCATCCACGTGGCCCCTCTCCACAGCCTCCGATGCCATGTGTGCTGAATGTTTGGTTTCCTTTCTGAAAAATGGAAAAGGGATGATTCCAAAAATCTCTCCTGGCCACATCGAGATGTCCTATCATAAACTATGTTGATGTAGGGGAAGACAAGAGAAGCTCATGAACAGCAGGGCACTCGGGGTTTCAGACCGTGGCCCTCAGTGTACAGTAGCGCCCCTCACATGGGGAGATCAATAGCTAGGAGGCCTCAGAGGAGAGGCCCCCTTCTGAGCTGAGTGCAGCCCCACAGGCTGGCAGGACAAGAGTTAGGCCCCTTGTATGAACACGGTCCCCGGAAGGGCTGGTGTCCGGGAATCACAGCAGCCTGGTGTGGAGAGCTGTGCAGAGAGGCATCCCTTTCCATTTGGCTTTAGTCCTCCTTCTTTTCCCCATTTCCACGTCCATTGCTTCTCATTCTGCATCAGGCCAGTAATTGATTAACTCCTAGTTTTTCTCTGTCCCTCTCCTGTGTCTATCTACCTGGCTTTGCCATCTGCTTGAGGCTGTCATTCCCTCCATGATCTGACCCCACACTGGCTAGACCAGCCAGGGTCTGGGTTGGGCTAGCCTCTGGTGCCTGCCCCTTGTCCCCCAGCTCAGAATCTTACATGTGTCCTCCAGCCACCTGCTGTTACCCCCCTCTGGCCCCTGGGAGACTCCGTGGGCTGGAAGGGACTTCAAGGGATTAGCGTTTCTGGCTAGCTGGCTTTGTGCCAGGAGGCTCCTCCGTAGCCTCAAGTGCCCAGGCATATGACAGCAGGAGGGAGGCAGGGGGCTCCGAGGGTAGGGGCTCCAGTGGAATGGGATCTCAGATGTGGTGCAGATTCTACAGTTTAGGAAAGGCTGCTCTCGTGGCTGATCTGGGGAGGCCTAATAGCCCCACCACCTATCCTCTATCAGCCGTTCTCAGGAGAAGATGAAGTATAAAGTTTGTGTGTAAGATGCATCTGTCTATGGCTACTGGCTGTGATGGGGCGGTGGGAGAGGCACTGAGTCTGTGTGGGGTCTGTGATGGTGGCAGGTTGCACAGGGGTGAATCTGCAGGTACGTGTGTGTTGAGAGTGAAAACGTACACACCTTGTGAGGTATCTCGGCAGGATGTGAGCAGGTGTGGGGGGCTGTGGAACACCTTTGTGTTAAGGGTCGAGTGCTGTGCTAAGGGTGGATCTGTGAGTGGGAGGAGGTGAGTGTGAGTGTGCAGATATGTCTGTGTCTATAAGGCTGGTCTGTATATTCACTCACAGTGCAACAAACATCTACGGAACAGACTTTACCAGACACACAGTCCCTGCCCTCCTGGGCTCACACTCACAGGTGACAACAAGCAAACAGGAAAGCATCAGGTGGTGTTCCAGGCTGCACAGAAAATAAAGAGAGGTGATGGGATAGTGCCTGGCTGGAGTGGGGTGCTAGTGTAGCTAAGTGGTCAGGAAAGGCTTATCCGAGGAGGTGACATCTATTTTAAAACCTGATGAAGTGTCCAACCCTGCAAACAACCAGGGGACAAACAAGTCCTGCAGGGGGCGACACAGCAGGAATAGAGTGAGTCATGTGGTTGGAGCAGGCTTGCCTTATTCAGTGGATGGAGACTCCCAGCAGCTCTGAAGCACGGTGGACGCAGGGGAGAGGACCACAGCTGAAATCCAAAAGGAAGGCGGGGACCAAGCAGGTGCGGGCCTCAGAGGCCATGGTAAGGCTTTGGGTTGCATTCAAGTTGCAGTGGGAAGCCATCTTGAGTTTCTAAACAGGGGAGTGAAATGATCTCCTTTATGGCTATAAATAAATGTAGCTTTGGATGGACAATAGCCTGGGCTGGGGGCAGGGTGGGTAGGAGAGGAAGCAGAAAGACCCATCAGAAAGTGACCATCTCCAGGTGAGAGGTGACGCCATCCTGGACTAAGTTGGAAGCAATGGAAATGGTAAGACACGATCAGACCCGGGATCTACTTGGGAAGCAGAGCTGAGACGACTTGCAGCTGGATCCAGCAGCAGGGTAGATGGGAAGAAAGGGAGTAATCAAGCATGAGCCCAAGGTCTGGCGCCTGAGCAACAGGAAAAGTCAGGCTGCACCCAGGGGCTGGAAAGAGTCGAGGAGGAGTTTGGAAAGAAGGTGTGGAAGCAGGGATTCTGTTTGGTCATGGCCCTTAGATGCATGAGTCTGGAGCCCAACACAGCCCAAGCTAAATGCCTGAAGAGAAAAGGACATGAATAGCAAGCAGAAAGGGAACACAGATGACTCCAATCGGAAAAATGCTCAACCTCACTCATGAGTGAAATGGAAATGAAGCTACACTGAGACAGCACAGTTCACCCTCTGGACTGGCAAACCCAACAAGTCTGATAACACCATGGAGTGCGGGGAACCAGTGCTCTCATCCATACCTGATGGGACAGGGGCTGCCAATGGGTACAGACTCAATGGAGAGCCATCTGGCACGATTAGACTCCAGAGAGAAGTCAGGGCAGGAGGTATAAATTTGAGAGTCTGCAAATAGATGGTATTTAAAGTCTCAGTCTGAGTGAAATCACGAAGGGAAAGAGGGCAGGTGCAGGAAAGAAAGAAGCCTGAGACCCAGGCCCTTCTACCTTCCTGGCCAGTAGAAAAGAAGAAAGCACAGCTAACACAGAAACAGATCAGCCAATGAAGTAGGAGGGAGAGAAGAACCATGCCAAAGCCCAGGGGGAGTGGGCCCCAGAAGGAGGGGATCAGCTGGGAAGGAAGCAAGTGACCTCAGGACTTGGCGGCCTGGAGGTGGTTGGTGCCTGTGACCAGAGTGGTCTCGGAGGAGTGACGGAGACACATGCTTGACTGGACTGGATGAGGCACATGAATGGAGCATGAGAGCTAGAGCCAGTGCTGTGAGCACAGAACCAAGGGATGGGACCTAGGGTGGAGGTGTTGTGTCTGGGTGTTTACAACTCGACCTGACTGTGTGTCAGTGGGCGTGGGTGTGTGTGTGCACCTGTTGCTGGAGTGTGTGGTTAACTCTGTGTGTGTACATGTGCTGTTGTGTGTGCAGGTGTGTATGAAGGGGGTCTGTCTGTGAATCAAATAGGCATAGTTAGAAATCTGTGTGTGTCTGGAGGATTTGTGGCCCTGGGTGTTTACTGATGTGTACACCTTTGCCACAGGGTATGCTGAAGCACAAGAGGTTAGGGACATTTCCCAGGGCTCTGCTAAGGCATTGAGGTCCAGCCTTCACTTCCCCCTGAGCTGGGAGGTCACAGTGTGGAGGGGCCAGTCAGCAGGTTTGGTGGGCAGGGGTGGGGTCTCCGGGCTGTAGCCTTGACTATAGCTAGTGCTGTCACCTTTTACTTTTTCTTCCTCCTGACTTTCTCTGTTTTAGAAGGGTTGCCTCAGCAGCAGCAGAGGGCAGAGAGGACAGTTGGCCTTTGGGAGGGCTTTGAGGCCCAGCCTAGCTCAGCTTCTCAGCAAGGGTGGGGGCTGTTCCTTGCGTACAGCGTACTGTCTATGGTGCCACTGGCAGGCTTCTCAGAAGCAGACACAGGAGGCCTGGAGTGGCCCAGGGCCACACCCTGACCAGGCTGCAGGGGTTAACAAAGGCCTTTCTCCCACACCCCTTCCATGAGCTTGGCTGGTCTGTCCCTGCTCCTGGTCCTGGCATCCCCTCTGTCCAGCCTCTGAGTCCGATGTGCTGTCACCAGCCTGCAACAAGCCACTTTCCACTTTCTTAGGGAAGCTGAGGTGGCTGAGCCAGGCTTGGCCCAGGGGCCACATGATCACTGCCATGAAGAACAACTCCTCTTGGCACACCAAGGTTCTTTGCAGCTACCAGGCCACGGTGGAGCAGGGCAGGGGAGCCGGCCAGACTGGGCTGTCCTCCCCGGCTCTACGGCCTCGGGAGCTTTGCCTTCACTCCATCCCTTCCCATTCTCCTGCATTTGCCACTCATGTGCTCTGGGCAGGCATGGGGCCTGGGGAGGGGAACTCAGGCAGAGTTGTGTGTGACCAGATCCATGGGTAGGTGGGAGCTGCGGGGGAGTAGAAAGCAAAACAGAGCGTGCAGGAGGGAAGGAACTGGCTGGAGAGAGAAGGGATGGACAGGAGCTGGGGAGAGCCTGTGGCTTTCTGGGAAAGGGGGTCTCTGCACCACTGTCCCCATGGGGCTGCCTCCTACTCCGTCCCTTACATCCACCCTGCCTCTGCAGAAGCCGAGGAGCTGTACCAGAAAAGGGTCCTGACCATCACGGGCATCTGCGTGGCTCTGCTGGTCGTGGGCATCGTCTGTGTTGTGGCCTACTGCAAGACCAAGTGAGTGACAGGCACTCGGGCTGGGGACAGGCCAAGCCAAGGGATGGGCCTCCAAGACTGTTTACGAAGGAGGTTCTCCTCCCCCACCCCACCGGAGCCCTCCACACACTCCTAGGCCCCAAGTGCCCCTTCGGGAGCCTCTGTAGCTGGGTGGGTGTGGGGCCAAAGGTCTGAGCCAAGAAGTAGAGGCAGAGGGTGGGGAAGGCCCCAGGGCACTGACAAAGAATGGTCCTGAGCACAGGCTTTGGGAGAAGACAAAGTCTGGAGGAGGGTGAGGAGGGAGTTGGGGCCCAGTGAGCCCAGAGGAGACTAGGCCCAAGAGGGAAAATTGAGTCCAAGAATTGCAGAAAAAGCAAGCCACCTGTCCTGCCCCCACTGCATTTACTCATTTCTCCAACAGACACTCATTTGGTGCCTGCTGGACACCAGGCCCCGCCTCAGACACATGGCCGGTGCTCTGAGCAAGTGGTCCGGTGTCACAGGATACCTTTTAGAGGCACCTAACCTTGGCTGGGGAGCAGAAAGAGTTTCCCCGAGGAAGCAGCCTTTAGGCCAGGGCCTGAGAGGTGAACAAGAGTTAGCAGGTGAAGAGGAAAGTATTCCAGGTGAACGGCCTAGCATGCACAAGGCCAGGAGGCCAGAGAGAGCGGGGCACGGTGGAGGATCAGAAAGAAACTCACCACGGAGGAGCTAGCTGGAGTGCCGGGTGGGCAGCGAGACACAGGGCTGGGAGAGAAACAGGACACTAAGGCCCAATAAAGGGGTTTCATTTTCATTTTTGCAGGTACATAGTAGGTGTATATATTTATGAGCTACATGAGATATTTTGATACAGGCACGCAAGACATAATAATCATATCATGTAAAGTGGGCTAGTCATCCCCCCAAGCATTTATACTTTGTGACCCTGAGCAAACTGATCGGTCCTCATGGACCTTTGTGTTACAAGCAATCCAATTACACTCTTTTAAATGTACAACTAAATTATTATTGACTATAGTCACCTCATTATGCTATCGAATACTAGGTCTCTTTTATTCTTTCTAACCACTTTTTGTACCCATGAACCATCCCCACCTCCCTCCCAACCCCCCACTTCCCTTCCCAGCCTCTGGTAACTATCCTTCTCTCTATCTCCCTGACTTCACAAGGAAGAGTCTTAAACAAGGGAGTGACATGATTAGATTTATTATCAAATAAATTGAGCATTTAATATGTGCCAATCTAAAGTAGTCCCACAGCTAACCACAGCACCCTGGGTATTTTCTTCATGGCACTTTACTCAAAGTATCTAGTTCACTTCTTTGTTTACGTATTTCCCATCTGCTTCCTCTACTGCTCTACAGGCTTCAGGAGGGCAGATACCCTATCTACCTATCTATCTTCTCTGCTCCAAAACAATGTCTGCTACATGGTGACACCTCAATAAATACCAAATGAATGAATAAGGGAGAGAGGGAGTCAGCACACACGCACACATACACACACACAGATAGAGAGAGAGAAAGAAAGAGAGAGAGAGAGAGAGAGAGAGAGAGAGACTCTTGTCCTGTCACCCAGGCCGAAGTGCAATGGCGCAATCTCAGCTCACCATGACCCCTGCCTCCCAGGTTCAAGCAATTCTCCTGCCTCAGCCTCCCAAGTAGCTGGGATTACAGGCATGTACCACCACGATGGGCTAATTTTGCATTTTAAGTAGAGACAGGATTTCTACATGTTGGTCAGGCTGGTCTGAAACTCCTGACCTCAGATGATCTGCCTTTCTAGGCCCCCAAAAGTTTTGGGATTACAGGCGTGAGCCACTGCACCCAGCCTTGAATATTTCATATACTTTTAATCATCAGTAGTCTTTGGAATGGATAAATGATCACCGTTTTATAGATGAAGAAAGTGAAACGTGGAGAGCTTAAGTAACTTGTCCAGGGTTGCATAACTAGAAAGCAATGAAGTTCTACTCTCTGAGCAGAGCCAAAGCTCCCTGCCTGGTCCTGCTGGATTCAGGGTGGTGGTGATGGTGTAGGGGCAGCTTGAGCACAGGGAAGAGCAGCGGCCCTGGCGGCCCTGGACAGGGGCAAAAGCTGTTTCCCTAGAGAGGCAGCTAGGGAAGTTCATCATTATCGAGTTAGGGGAATGCCAGGCTCACTTTCCCTTCCCTTGTGCAGAAAACAGAGGAAGCAGATGCACAACCACCTCCGGCAGAACATGTGCCCGGCCCATCAGAACCGGAGCTTGGCCAATGGGCCCAGCCACCCGCGGCTGGACCCAGAGGAGATCCAGATGGCAGATGTGAGTGGCTTTCCTGGGCCCCCTTCTAAACACCCAGTGGACAGCCAGCCTTCTCATGCCCCCTGCAAGGATGGGCCAGGGCAGCAGCCAGCCTATCCCATGGCCAGCCTTTCCTGCTAGGCACTGCCTCAGCAGGATGGCTGGCCTTGCCTTGCTCACTTTCATCAGGAAGGGGTGGGGGTTGATTTGCTGGAGCCGTCACTGCCCCAGAATCAAGTCACTCTCACCCAGTGGGTCTCCCCAACCAGGAGCTCAGTCAGTGCTCATCACATCCTGTCCCCAACAGGAAAAGTTGATTTAGGCCACGGTCACTAACTCTCACCCAACTCTGTCCGTTCCAGTATATCTCTAAGAATGTGCCAGCCACAGACCACGTCATCAGGAGAGAAACTGAGACCACCTTCTCCGGGAGCCACTCCTGTTCACCTTCTCACCACTGCTCCACAGCCACGCCCACCTCCAGCCACAGGTAGGCACCACCAAAGCCCACGGAAACCTGGAGACTCAAATACTTCATCTGGCACAAAGTGCCCACTTACTCCAACATCCAGAGCTACTCGATACCCTCTCCTGAGCTTGCCACAGGAATCACAGCGCACCTCTCCAGAACTTCGAAGGCTGATCCACACAGCACAAAGGCCCAGACAGCTCAAAAATAACATGGCTGGCTCCCTTCTTCCCTGGGAGCACCAGGAAATAGGGCCCTCACATACTGGCCCCTGGGGCTGGGCTTCTGAGATAGGTAGCTAAGGACCACACAGGGGGTTTAAGGTAAGGCTAGGGGAGGCTGGTTGCAGGGAGGAAAGAAATGGATTTCTGCACAGTACAACTCACTCATCCATGGGACCCCAGCCCTCCTTCTTCCAATATTGGAGTTGAGCATTTGCAACACTCTACATCACCCCAGAATGGAGAAGGGCATTGAGCTAAGGGAGCTGGAGGTGGAAGAAGAGCCAGGGAGGTCCATGGAACCACACCTGCTGGGCGCTCTGCCCTTCCTTACTCTTCATCTCACCCCATCTGGCTTTCCCAGACACGAGAGCCACACGTGGAGCCTGGAACGTTCTGAGAGCCTGACCTCTGACTCGCAGTCGGGCATCATGCTGTCATCAGTGGGTACCAGCAAATGCAACAGCCCAGCGTGTGTGGAGGCTCGGGCAAGACGAGCAGCAGCCTACAACCTGGAGGAGCGGCGCAGGGCCACCGCACCAGCCTACCATGACTCTGTGGACTCCCTGCGTGACTCCCCACACAGCGAGAGGTCAGTTCCTACCCCCTGGCTTATGCCCCACCTTAGCCAAAGGGCTGGCACCACTGGCCCAAGGCTGACCCTTAGAGCCCCTCAGAAACACTCCAAAGAGTCTCATCTCCATTTTTGAGATGGGAAAACAAGGTCCTAGAAAAGGTGAAATGGCTTGCTCAGGACCATAGCATGTTAATGACAGATTGGGACTAGAGCTGGGTCAGCGGACCCTGGTGGGCAGAGACCATCTAATTTAGGACACTTTTCAGATGAGAAGAGGACATTATTAATAGTTACACTGGAACATCAAGAACAAACAGGGAGCCAGGCATGGTGGCTCACACCTGTAATCACAGGGAGCCTGAGGTGGATTACCTGAGGTCAGAAGTTCGAGACTAGTCTGGCCAACATGGCGAAACCCCATCTCGACTAAAAATACAAAAATTAGCTGGGCATGGTGGCACATACCTGTAATCACAGCTACTTGGGAGGCTGAGGCAGGAGAATCCGTTGTACCTGGGAGGCGGAGGTTGCAATGAGCTGAGATTGCGCCACTGTATTCCAACCTTGGCAATGGAGCAAGACTCCATCTAAAAAAAAAACAAACAAAACAGGGGCTGTTCTGGACAAACTAGGATATATGCTAGAGGCCCCATGTCCAGCAGGAACAGAAAGACACTAAGATGGAGTAGACTGCAAGGTGAGAGGAGAGGTTGTCTTTGAGGACACACCAGCACAAGATGGACATGAGTCACGAATGACGGCAGCCCTTGGCAGTGTCAGCAACAAGACCCCATGGTTCAAGGCCTGGTTGGGTTCCTAAGTAGTGGATGCAGTAAGAATCAGGAAATGTCCCTTCTTCCCTGACTCCAAGCCAGGAGTCTCAAGGGCCAGCACCCCCGCCAGCTTGCTCAGCCCTGAGTGGCCCTCAGCCAAGTGGGGTCTGTAGGAGATGAGCAAAGAAAGGTGAGTGGTACTAAACACTCCAAACCGGGGTATAGGGAGAGGACCAGATATTCTCCTGCTCTCAACTCAGCCTACTCCATGCCAGACCCTGTGCTGGGCAGGCCTGCCTGGGAATCCAGAGATGGGCCACCAGATTCCTGCTGCTGAGGAGCTCCTGGCCATGGAAACAAACCAAGGAAGCTTACAGCAGCCTATGGAAAGTGCTAAACACAGGACACCACACTAGGGCAGAGAGACCCAGTCTGACTGCAGGCTCTGGGAAGCAGCCAGGTTTGCCAAGCCCAGCTCCACCACCTGTGTGATTTGGGGCAGGCTGATCACCTCTATACCTTGTTGCCTCAGCTATAGAACAGGGAGAACAATCGCTACTATGCATGGTTCAGGTGAAGGCCACCTGAGATCATGTGCACAGCGCTCTTTGCCTCATCCTTGGCATGGAGCTGATGCTCACTAGGTGTAGCTATTTATCAGGCGTAACCACAGCAATGGGACTTCCTAATGGGTGGTAGGAAGAGGAGAGGCAGGAGAGCGGGCAGGAAAGCATTCCAAGCATGGGAAACAACTTGAGCTGTTCCAACAGAGACATTTAAGAACACGGCTGATGAGTGAGGTGCCTGGAACAGGGTGGGCTGTAGGGAGCAGAGGAGCTGGGCCTGAACAGGCAAGCTGGCCAGACAGACTGACCCCGGGTGCGTAAACAGGAAGACCTCCTTCAGCAGATCTGTGACTTTTCAAGATTGCTCTGGGAACCACAGAGTGAAGAAGGAGAGACCCTGGGGTGGAAGCATGACCACAGTGAACAACTGGGCCCAGGGTGGGATGGAGAGTGTGCTTCCCGAGAAGGGAATAGCTAGAACTTGGTGGCTGATTAGATGTTGGTGGGAGAGGGAAGAAGGAGTAGTCAGGCGACTGAAAATAAACGTAATGGGGACTCCAGGCTGGTTCCAGAGAGCAGTGAGGTGCCCAGCTGTGCAGTATGGAAGGGAAACACAGAGGTGGGTGGCCCCTGTCCTGAGGTGGTGACGGTGGGGCAGAAGACTGATGGACTTACAAGGGGGATGTGGAGGACAGAAGGGGGCAGGTACCTGGGATCCAGTCTGGGAGATACTAGCCAGGGCAAACTTCTGAAGGAGCTGGTGGTGTGGGGATGGGTCTGCAGCCACAAGCAGACACACCTCAGTGGGACCTTGGTACTTCCCTGAAGCAGGTTTTGACTTCAGTATAAGAAGGACTATTTCCCTCACTGAAGCCACTGGGGAATGGGATGAATTGTCCCTGTGGGGCAGTGAGTACAGGTCATAGGGGTATCTGAATGGGGACTAGTGGGTTCTGGAATTGGGTAGTATGAGTCCTGGTTCCTGCCTAGCCTCAAGTCACATCCGAGCTTTGCCACTTCCTGGCTGTGTAAATCCTGAAAAAGTCATTTAAACATTCGGAGTGTTAGTTTCCTGTGTGTAGAATGGGACTGGCGGAAGGATCTTACAGAGCTGCCGTATTAAACCAGATGGAACCTGTACTATACCCCAGTGTGAGCCTGACCCCGTGACGTAACGGTGCGCCATTCATGGAGACTAACCGGGTCAGGCACGGGGCTAACACATCCCACTGATACATTCTGGAATCAACCCAACAGAGCTATGGAATGAACACCATGGTTATGCCCGCTTAACAAATAAGGAAACCAGGACTCGGAGAGGTTTAGGAAATCGCATAAGGCCACTGAGGGTTACCGCCATCATTCTTGCAGGCGGGTTCTGGGGCAAGGTTACTGCAGGTCTGGGTCCGCCCCTCCCAGCCTACCCCACCCCCAACCCCCGGCCCGGGACTGGCCCAGGCCCATGCCTCTGCCTCTCCCCGCAGGTACGTGTCCGCCCTGACCACGCCCGCGCGCCTCTCGCCCGTGGACTTCCACTACTCGCTGGCCACGCAGGTGCCGACTTTCGAGATCACGTCCCCCAACTCGGCGCACGCCGTGTCGCTGCCGCCGGCCGCGCCCATCAGCTACCGCCTGGCGGAGCAGCAGCCGCTACTGCGGCACCCGGCGCCCCCCGGACCCGGGCCGGGGCCCGGACCCGGCGCGGACATGCAGCGCAGCTACGACAGCTACTACTACCCCGCGGCGGGGCCCGGGCCGCGGCGCGGGACCTGCGCGCTCGGCGGCAGCCTGGGCAGCCTGCCCGCCAGCCCCTTTCGCATCCCGGAGGACGACGAGTACGAGACCACGCAGGAGTGCGCGCCCCCGCCGCCCCCGCGGCCGCGCGTGCGCGGCGCGTCCCGCAGGACGTCGGCGGGGCCCCGGCGCTGGCGCCGCTCGCGCCTCAACGGGCTGGCGGCGCAGCGCGCACGGGAGGCGCGGGACTCGCTGTCGCTGAGCAGCGGCTCGGGCGGCGGCTCGGCCTCGGCGTCGGACGACGACGCGGACGGGGCGCTGGCGGCCGAGAGCACGCCTTTCCTGGGCCTGCGCGCGGCGCACGACTCGCTGCGCTCGGACTCGCCGCCGCTGTGCCCGGCGGCCGACAGCAGGACTTACTACTCCCTGGACAGCCACAGCACGCGGGCCAGCAGCAGACACAGCCGCGGGCCGCCCCCGCGGGCCAAGCAGGACTCGGCGCCGCTCTAGGGCCCCGCCGCGCGCCCCTCCGCCTCGCCCGCGCCACTGTCTTTAGGAGACGAGAGACCGCCAACTGGAGAGAAAGGAGGAAAAAAGAAATAAAAATATTTTTATTTTCTATAAAATGAAAAAAAGTATAACAAAATGTTTTATTTTCATTTTAGCAAAAATTGTCTTATAACACTAGCTAACGGCAAAGACGTTTTTATAGGGAAACTATTTATATGTGACATCCTGATTTACAGCTTCGGAAAAAAAAAGAAACAACAAAAAAAAAAGAGAGATGGGCCAATTTTTTGACTCTTTAATAGAAACCTATTTTGTGGTGCCTTTTGCTGTACGCTCATCTGGGGCTCCGGGAGAGAGGTCTCTGGGTTGCGGAGTGCTGGGAGTGACAGGGAGAGAAGAGGCTGTGGGGTTCAGGTGGCGGCGGGGGTGGGGGGTGGTAGGGGCTTGGCCCTGAGGAAGAACTGAGGACAGAAGTAGCTTAGCCCCCAGGCAAGAGCTGGAGTTCCGAACCCCTGGGGGGTGAGGGCCAGGACTCTAGACTTGGAGCTGGTGCTGGGGTAACTTCCAGTGGAAGATAAAAACACAGCTACCCGAATGGGGGAGCCCTGGCTACTCACAGCTGTTAAGGGAGCGGGGCAGAGAAAGGTCTCCCAGAAAGCCTGGGCCCAGGGAGGGGCAACTCTGCCAGGGTCCCAATGTTGGTGGCTCCTGTCCCCCACAGCCTCCAGGGCGCCCCTCCGTCCTCTGCAGCGCCTTCGTTTACAGGTCGTCTTTTCTATTTTACACCTGCATGTCCTTTGCATTTCAGATTCTTTAGATTGGATGCATGGTCACGCTGGGACCGAGAAGAGCCACTCGACAGTGTATTTCCCTTTTTAGCAATAAAGTAACACCATTTCCTTCTCACAGGCTGCTTCCCAGCCCCCAACCCACCTATGACTTCCACTCCGTCTCCAGTCCTGCCCTCCCACCCCCAAAACCTGGGTCCACTGCTAATTTGTCAAAAAGGTAATTGTTTAAAAAAAAAAAAATTCCAAACAGAAACAAATGGGAATCCTGCCCTGAAATGTCTGAACACCTGACTGTTGACACTTGAACATTTTTATATTATAAATAAAATCAGAAATGACTCCTGTTTGACTGTGTGTGCCTAGCCCCAGATGTGGAGGGAAGTCAGAGCGCCAAGCCCTGTGGTGGAGGTGGATGATCTGGCCTGGAGGTCGGAGGGAGCCAGGACCGTCCCTGAGAGGAAGTGACCCTCTCCAGTCTCAATGGCCCCAGCTCCCAGGACAGACTCCAGCCCTCCTCCTGCTTCCAAGTATTTACAAGCTGTCCCCCTGGCTGCTGGGGAACCTGGCCAAGGGACTGACGCAAATTGCTCTGCTTCAAACTCAGCCTTGGAACTCTGGCCAGTTCCTGCCTTGGATCTATGGGCCGGACTGAGGCAACAGTTGCCAGCCTAAGTGGGTGAGGAGGGGTGGGTTGTGGGGTTGGCACTGGCACAGCTGAGGCAGGATGACCCTTGGACCCTGAGGCACGTCACAGGCAAAGTCTGGACATGCAAAGTGGCATAACAGGTACCCCCAGCTGCCAGGAGGACCACAGCTGCTGCAGCTCATAAGCCTACAGGGTGTTGCTCTTTCCCCAGTTTATACCCCCTCAGAGCCAGGGCCTGTCTAAACCCGCAGCCCTGAGGGAGAGTACATGATTTCAGTATGGAGAAGGCAGATGGAGGCCCAGGGTTCAAAAGCCTTTTCCCTCATCAACTAAGTTAGTAAACCAGTGCCCAGCACCGGGAACTATTCGGTTCCAGCCAGACACCATGACATCTTCCACCCAAAGAGCTGAGGTGGTTGGCATCCACTGTCGCCTGCTCATGTGTGTGTGTTTGTGAGGGTGTGGGTAGGTGTGAATGCCCCTAGGATGTGTGTAGTCACAGACCTACAGGTGGGAGGGACAGAGAGGCTGCGGGTTGAGAGGGCTTCGGCATCAACAGGGCATGAGTTCAAATTCCAGCTCTGCGACTCCCAGCTGTGTGATAGCTCTAGGCCACAGTTTCCTTGCTGGGAAATGGTGATGCAAATAACTACCCCAAAAGGTTTCTGTGGAGATTATAAAATACCCAGTGCTGATATTGGCATGTGATAGACTCCCATTACATGGCTAATTTGATAGTGGTGATGACAATATCCCGTGCCTTGCATCCTTGTATCACATAGCCAGGGTGACAAAAACTAGATTAGAGGGAGATGATGGAAAGAACAAGCTAAATTTTTTGTATTCATTGTGGGGGCTCTGGGGAAAAGTATCTGCTAACAAAAAATTTTAAAAAAGGAAAATAACTCAATGCTGCATAAAACCTGCAACTCACTGGCCCCTCCCAGCCCCCTTCTGTTGATCTCACCCAGCCTCCTCTGCTGTCTTTGGATGTGTGGTTGGCTTTAAAATCCTCTGAAAGCCAGTTATTCTTCCATGGGACCCACGGCTTCTGTTGGATCCCAAGTGAACTCCATATGAACTCTTCGGGAGTTCACCCATTGACCTTTGTGTGATCCAGCTTAGTGTCCTCATGTGACCTTTACCTTTACCAGGGCTCTAGGTTGTTGCCGCCTTCTAAATTTTAGAGTCAGATGCGACCCAATGAACTCACCAATCCCTTTGTGGCCCTCAGTTGATTCTGAATAACCACTTGGTGAACTCACCGACCTTTGCATGAGCATCAGGTACCTTCATTACATGCTCTGTATCCTACATTACCTGCCATACATGCCGAGAATGCAAGGCCAGCACCTAACGGAGTTCTTTCTTCACCTGTCATCCACCCATTCATATCACAGGTATGGTTAGAACCGGGGCACACATATGAGTAGAGAGGCCCCTTCTCCATTCTGCTTCTAAAATCTCTGCCTTGGAGAGCCTTCCCATGGCCTTTCAGGAAGAGTCGCAGTCCTGTCAAACTACTTCCCTTCCACCACCCCATCACTGGACCATGTAGGATGACGTCCAGGCAGCTTTCCAACTCAGAGGTTTTCTCCCCAATTTCCCAGTTCCTTCTTTTCCAGGTCATTTTTTGGCTTCTCTTTCCAGCCCCTCCCAGAGGTCCAAGTGGTAACGGTAACAGCCTGTTCTCCCCACCAGAGTGTGAGCCGCACGAAGACAGGGAGCAAACTTCCTCCCACCACCGTATCCCCATCACCATGCCCAGCGTGCGGCACACAGTTGACCCTCATTGAATTAGAGGATGAAGGCGCAAGGGACACTGTCATCAAGGGCAGCCGTAAGTCCCTGAGCCCGAGGACACCTCCCAGCACCACCAGGTGGCGCAAACCACTCATTTCATGTCACCAGTCCCGGATTTGAACAGTCCTAGAAAATGGGCATGTTTGGAGACAGCAGTTGTGGGGGAAACATGAGGATCCATTCGTAGGCAGGAAAAAATATTAGAACTTTGATTTAGATTTATTTTCATCTCATCTTTTTTAAATGTCTATTTTTGTGTATGTTTTATAATGTACATAATATTTTAGTACAGTAGTACATGTATATAATTTACAAATAAATAATTATACAATTAAGGAAGTGAACTAAACACTTTTTTACGATGGGAGGCACAACCCGTGCTCAGGAAGCACATCTGTCCACAGCTGCCGGAGCTCCCGCTCTGCTCTCCACTCACCCGCCCTCGGGAAGTGAAGGGTGAGACTGACCCCAAAAATCAAAGGACTTTTGAGGCAGCATGGAGAAAGTACCTAGAGCTCTTTTGTGGTGCCACATTGCATTTTCAATTTCATTTAAGTGAACATTTACTTCCTCTGAGCGAAACGAAGGGGCCAGATGGTTTGGGTCTAAAACACACTTCAGCTGATCCAACTTAAATAATCTGAATTTAAATCACTACATCTCTCCACATACTCAACAGCCCCTTGCCTCAAAAGTGAGTGGGCCTGTAAAGTTAGATACTTAGTTGCAAGCCTGGCTTATTTTATTAACTAAGTATGTTACCACTGATGCCAAATTGCTGGCCAAACTACAGTAATCTATTTAAATAGAGAGGATTCGCTCTTCACGGCGGTACTGCAGGTGCCATCACCCCCACCCACTTGTCGGTTGGAGGAATGCAGGGCTTAAAGGTGCTAGCTAATCCATGATCGTCAAGTGGCAAACTTCTCCACTCTTCCCAGATACATCCTTAGCTAAGCCTTTCTGATTCACTAGACAAATGAACGAAATAGCAACAGAAAAACAGTCAGTAACTTGTCATTCCACCTTTTCCCAAGACCAAGAATTAATGGCTTCCATAACCTTCCTCTGACAAGCATCTTTGGACTTGTTGACAAGTGGCCATTTTCGAGGCAGAGTGTCTTTTATTCCTACAGCTGTAGATCTGTCCAAGAGGCCACCTTGGGAGCTCAGAGACCTGGCAGCACCACATAAAGACCCAAATATAAACAGGGCCGTGGTCCCATCCCACTCACACCCCAGGATATCCATGGGACAAATGGGGCAGTGCATACAGGCTCTATTTTTTCCAAAAGCATCAACTGTAAGGGCAGTGTAAGTCACAGGTCAGCTGGAAGAGGGAAAACAGGGAGAGGGAGGCCAGCACTCCAGCACTGCCTCCCCTTCCCTCCCAGAGTGTCAGGGGAGCCAGGTGCAACCATCCTTCCTAAAAGGGGAAGCTCCAAAATAGGCTTTTCCTTCATCTGATTGCATCCTCTAACTGATTTCTGTTCCAAAACCACCTTTCAGGGGTTCCTTATGCAGGTATTATTCTTACAGGTATACATTTGTGTCTGTATAAAAAGGAGGCAGTAGTGATCTCAATGGATGAAAAGAGGTGGACGCACATGTGCGTAGAGTCAGCTTGACACTGAAAGGGCATAAGCCTGGGTCCCAGATTATTGTGATGTGAGGCAGGAGACCTGGGCGTGGTTCTGGAGGCTGCTGGGAGGAGGGAGGAGGGGATGGTGCTGGTGGTCTGCAGACCTGCTGCTGGTCAACTCAGAGGAAGGAGGAGGAGAAAGGGTGGGGTTCCAGCTGAGACCTGGAGTCAAGACCTGCCCTCACAGACAAGAAAGATGAGGAGAGAAGCTTGATGAGAAGAGGAAGACCTGGAAAGACAACAGCTCTTCCAGCTTCTCCAGCAAGGTGGTGTCTAGAGCATGCACACAACTGGCCTACAAAATGAGGCTCCATGGTGGAAAGGGAAACAAGGGCTGGGGAGAGGGTCTGATGCCCAGAGATGCCCACGGATGCAAGGAGGTCAATGCCACAAATGGCATCTCCGTCTCCTGGGCCCACAGGCTCTCTTCACCCCTCTGGCTGCCCATCAACTGCCTGGAGCTTGGTCCGCGTGGCTCCTGGCTGGAATTGTGCTCACCGGCCCCACTGGAGACATTGCCCACCTCTGGGGCCTGCACATCCATGTCAGCTAAGTATCAGGCCCAGTGGCATCCTTTGTGCTTTTGCTGCTAGTCACGTGGCCCTGGCTGAGGGCAGGGCTTGAGTGTGTCTTCCGGAGAGAAGGGTCATCCCCTTCCAGAGTGGCCAGCCGGGCCTCAATCCGCTCCAGATCATCTGAGCCCACTTTGATCTTCACAGACAGGAGGTGGATATAGGTCTCATAACGGCTTTTCTGGGGAAAGGCCAAACACAAGGTCAAAAGACAACAAAATAGGAAAAAAGGATGTGCACCTTATATGACAAAAGACTAATTTCCTTAATATGCAGAGAGCTTTCAAAAATCATTAAAAAGAAGATGAACAGTGCAATTAAAAAATAAGCAAGGGACATGCACATAAACTTCATAATTTTAAAAATCCAAATAATTGGCAATCATTTCTTGGATATGACACCAAAAACCCAGGCAACAAAAGTAAAAATACACAAATGGGACTAAATTTAAAATCAAAATTTAAAACATCTGCAAAGGATACAATCAATAGAATGAAAAGGCAACCTACAGAAAAATATCTGCAAGTCATATATCTGATAAGGGTCTAGTATTCAGAACACATAAAGAGCTCTCAGAATGGAACAACAGAAGACAACCCAAAATTTTTAGATGGGCAAAGGACTTGAATTCACATTTCTCCAAAGAAAACATACAAACGGCCAACAAGGACATGAAAATATGC